TTGACCAGTTGGAATAAGCTAGCTTTATATGGTCCCAAAAGCTCTCCCAGCTAGCAGCAGTATTGAGCTCAGGTGGCACTGGCGATAGCTGCCGAGGAGTAGCAGCAGCCGTAGCTAACTGAACAGTTGACTGAGTAGCTGGCTGCGTAGCTGGTAGCTCTTGAGGCTGAGTTTGGCCAACATAGAAGTGGTTGATAGTTGACTGGTTTGAAGGGGAGGACTGAGGCTTTGATATAGTAGCTCGAGAGGCTCGCTTAGCAAGCTCTTGCTCATGCTTCTCATGGCTACGTATAATTAGCTCTCGTATACGACGAGAGGGCGTCTCTAGAGTGCCCTCGCCATGTCGAACTGCTTCTCGCCAGTGCTGAGCTACGTGGAAGATCACCTCGTAGTGGCAGCCATGGCTGACAAAGCAAGCAAGGCCATGGCGCGCTTTGATAGGACAGCGTAGAGGGTCCTTGCAGTTCCAGTAGTCTTGAATACTACTGCAAAACAGCGCTCGGTCATCCATATACCGATTAGTAGCGGCTTCTGAGCGCTCTGAGCGGCGATGCCGGTTTTGACTGGATTGCTGAGGCTGAGCCTGAGGCGTTGAGGCTTCATACGCTGGCGGTAGTTCAGCTGCTGGCTCTAAGCCATCAGGAGTCCATATTGACTCAATAGTAACAGAGAGTTCCTTCATGCCGCTCTGGCTATTGAAGCGGACGAGATCCATAGCCTTCTTCCAGCGCTCAGCGCCCTCTTCCTCTCTTAGTAGAGTAACGACTTCAGTCTGACGGACACCGCGAGCACCAGTTGAAGCTATAATAGCTCTAACCTTCCATGTATAGAAGATGGCTATCCGACGACCCTCTAATACAGGGATAGCGGTGTTGTTCAGCTCTTGAAAAACTTCTAACCATGGCTTGTTGCTGCTAGCAAGGGTGGTATCAGCGTCAGATAGCTTCTCGTGGTTCCAGCGAGTGTCGTATAATAGCTTGAACGGTACGATAGCGACGATAGGCGAAGTGGTGGTAGCAGGAGCTGAATTTGATGATACTTTGCGTGCGTGGAGGGTCCCTATAGCCTTCTGAGTGACCTTGCTTACTTTAGTGACTTTATTAGTAGTTGTGGTTGAACGACGGCTTGTTAGCGCTGAGCTGGTAGAAGGCTTCGCGGGTTAAACCTGAGGCGTGAGGGCCTGTATCTTAGTCTTCCTTAAGGTATTTGACATGCGTTTTTTTCCTAACGTGTTTGTTGCGTTGGAAAGAGGCTTCCGAGCGGCGGATGCCTTATTAGAAGGTGGTTGTGGTCGTTGTTTAGTTGGTTGGCGCTTTGCTGTAACCTGGCGCGAGCTGGCTTGAGGGAGCGTCTGTTCGTCTACAAGGCGAGCTGGCGCCTTGCCACGCGTAGATCGAGGTGTTGTAGATGTAGAAGCATCAACAGCCTCCTCTTAAGTGTCTTTGAAGTGTACACGACGTCTTGAGCCTATATAGCTTGGTGGTTAAGCTGGCGAGGGTGGTAGCTCTAAGAGGCTCGATTCGCGAGTTCTGCTCTGCGAGCGCGTGCGCCGAGCGCTAAACCAGCTGCTACTGCTAGCAGCGCATTTGAGGCAGTAGATTGATCCATATCGACGTGTAAACAGAGTGAATTGACCGTAGTAAGTGGTGTATAGTTGGAATAGCGCGAGTCATTAGCTGCTCTGAGCATCGAGTTCGAAGTTGAGGGTGGCAAATTATAATGAATTCTGAAACCGAGAATAGCCGGCGTCCCCGACCCAAACGCGGGGGTGACTCACCTCGAGGCACAACTCACGACCATACCAACATCTTTCCATTGTTATATGCCTGACTTTATTCATCTTACAACTCACCCGTACAGCAATCGCAATGGTCAAATTTTACGACTCTCTGTCTCCGGAGCTTAGCGAGTGGTGTATGGCCCAGCCCCTCTTCTACATTGCCTCCGCACATCGCTATGGTGATCACGTTAATATATCGCCGAAAGGACTTCCTTCGACCACTTTCTCGATTCTAGACCTAAACAAAGTAGCTTATATCGATGCGGCTGACTCTGGCGCTAAGACTATTGCTCATCTATACGAAAACGGTCGGTGTACGATTATGTTTTGTTCGTTCGATAAGGTGCCGAGGATCTTAAGGTTGTTTTGTAAGGGCAGAGTGGTGGAGTTCTAGGATGAAGAGTTTGGAGTGCTAACGAGGAGGATGGGGAAAGAGGTGCCGGTGGGTGCGAGGGCGGTGATTGTGTTGGACATCTTTAAGGTATGCGTGTGTGTCATTTTTTTTTGGATATTGCTGCTTCGTGTATTCTCAGTGCAAGACGATTTTACTTGCGCTCTGATGCTGACGAAACTGTATCTATAAAGATTAACTTCCTGCGGCTAAAGCGTGCCGCTGCTTTCGGAAACACAACAAAGGGGACTCCTGGACCGCGAGACTCTGGGTCATTGGGCTGGCAAAACCGTCTCGGACAACAAGATGGTGGACTATCGCGCCAAGAACAATGCGTATAGTCTGGACGGTCTTCCTGGTTTGAAGGCAGGTAGACGAACAAGAGGTGAATGGCTCTGGGCAGGTGACGCTAGAGAATACTTTACAAGGCTTTGGCATCAGATGGATGCTATGGTGATTGGATTCGTGCTTGCTTTTGTCGTAATTGATCTTTTGCATTTGGCTGGTATAAGGATCAATGGAGTGCTTGCGGATTGGAGATGACCAGGTCGAGGCGTAAAAGATTTTATTTGCATTTCTTGCTCCCTCGAGCGCAACCACAAAGTCGTTCTGAATCTTGTTATGCTCAACATCGCTTTGATTGTTTCTTCAAGGTTCCGATTATGAACCGCTTTCCAGCTATATCAAGGTAGATCAGCCCATTCGTTTCCTTTTCATGCTAGATCAGCCGCTCGCTCCTCTCGTAGCACGTCTGTACTGGTGGTCGTCATCACGCTGTGGGAAGCAGGTTGTCTCAGATAGATGTTTGTAGTAGAGTCGCTCTGACAGCAAGGTCTGAGATCTCCGAGGTAGCATGCTTTTCAGATGTCTCATGTGCACGAAAGGCATTAGCGGGTGGAAGCAGTTGAATTTCATCTAAGTTTACAATGGAGCGGCTGACATATCTTGCAAGATGTCATTAGCGTTCATATCAAAGTTGAAAGTGTCGAAACCGAACTGCAATATTGTGTCAGCAGATGTTGAACGCAATGCAATGCTGAGTCATTCGAACACTTACGTCGAAGATATCGCCGTCCAACCATGCTATATATGGCTGGATGTCATTGAATTGAGTCGAGGTATCGAAGTCAGCGTTTGACTCCTAGTGTAAGGCTCGATTAGCTTCCACTGTGGACATCGACTCGAAACCCCATCCATGATATTTTGGGCCGTGCAACTCACCCTGGAAGCATCACTCAGCGAGGACTGAGGAGTCGATTGTTGCAAGGACTGATACATGGAATGGCGTTTGTATAATTCGAGGAAAGTCGATGCACAAGAGTATTTGGCGGTTGGCCGATCCCACATCCCCAGGTGAACTTTGAGTAACGAAATAGCAGCACTGATTGTGATGAAACACCAAGGCTTACTCTTGCGGCAGCGCAAGGATCTCTCAGCTGCTATATTCAGACTGCGTTCCATGAGCTCAATGATGGAGTTGGCGGAACTCATGATGATACTGGTGGACCCTGGAATGCTTTAGTACGCTATATGTTGTGTAATCACAGGGACAACTTACGAGGGCTTTGTAATAGCATGATCCGCGTAAGGGTCAATGAACCCAGTAACAAGTCTTCACGCAAGCGAGTTAAGGGCTGGAGACCTAGATCACTGATTTGACAGTTGATCAAAAGCATCTCTCGGGACATTTGGTGACAGATGTTCTCCGAAAGCCAGAACGCTGAGCCGTCCTTTTGCAGGTATGGTCGGTGAATAGCAAGGACACACTCCATGAGTTGGAACTTTAGAAACCCATTGACGGTTGAGGAAAGACCTTTACGAGAGGCTAGATCCCAGATCGGGAGCTTAGCAATCTCGTCTGTCAGCTGGTGTGTGTACCGAAGAACGTCATCATAAGTCATGGGGTTAGCGATGGCGGGACTAGATAAGCGTCGAGAGATCTCCAAACGTAGTGACCAGCTACGTGCGCTTATGCTCTGGTATGAACTTTGAGTATAGTGATTCGCTGATCTGGAACCAGGAATTTGCGTGCAGAACTCATCGAATTCTTCATCCTCGATGTTCGCAGGAACTTCAGTATTATGATCGATGTTATGAAGAAGAGTTGGCAAACCGAACTCGTATGAGTTCTGAAGCTCAAGCTCACGTATAACATGCCAGATACGACGCCTCATCTCGCCCTGAAAGACATCTTCGGTGCGGCGCATCGAGTCAGCATAGGGTAGCTCGTCCAGGATGGCTCTTTGCAGAAGGTTGCTTGACTCTGTCCAGAATAACTTCTTGTGGATCATGTTCATTCGTTTAGCTAGATAGCTGAGACACAAAACTTGATAATGGATAAGTTTATATCGTTTTGGACTCTGTTGTCGCAGCCACTCATCGACTGATACGTCCCAGTGTGAAGCTATATCTTGATAACGCTCACCGATAGGCGGGCCGCTAGCAGAAACAGCCATCATGGACAGAATCAGAGAAGCAACAGCTGGTGAGCGCAACTGATCCGAAAGCCAGAAGTCATGATACTGTCTCTTGAACGTAGGCACATGAACTATACGATGAAGATGCTCATAGTTGTCGAGATAGTAGGACACCAGTAGATCGGCATCATCTCTTGGAGGAAGCAACGCATCGAGGGTCAAGTTCTCGTCCTTGGAAATGAGCGTTTTCTGTTTCTTGAGTCTCAGGCCGGTTGGACGAAGCCATTCTTCTGTGACTTCAGTAATGAAAGGAACGATTTGTGTAATCTATAGCACGAGAGTGAGTGATTTGCATCGACACAATTTTCAAAGTTGGCTTCTACCTCTGTGAAGAATTTGAATAGAGAGTGCTTAGCATAATAACCGTGCGGTGCGCGATCCTTTGGATGATAGAATTCGGATGCTTCCTTTTGGTGATCAGTCTGTTGAAGGTTGACAGTACTGTCCAACCTTGCTGATGGTATAATTGGTGGGGTATCAAGCTTGGCCTGGGTTATCCTTTCCGCATTGACATGATTCAGGTCAGGTTGGCCCTGGAAGACAAGACTTCTTAGACTAGTCACCTCAGTCCGCAAGCGCCGTAGCTCTTCTGTGTCGTCTTGTCTCAGGTGCCTTTTATGGTGCTGTGGTCGCTGACCTGTCGCAGGCGGTCGACCGGTGGGCGTGTCGTAAGTACACAGATCTCGACGACCCGCCCGCGAGCACCGCTGACAAGGCCAGTCCCGGTCGCAGGAGAGCTGATAAGATCAATCTGATTGAGTCAAACAAGAGAAAGTCCAAGGATACTGCGTACCTTTTTCGACCTGCATTCACCACAGCTCAAGGGCAAGCGACGTCTGCGAGTCCGCTTCCCGGGAGATTCGGTCGTGGCACCAACATCTTGTTCGGCGCCGCTCATTGTTGACATTACGCGCAAATTTTCAATCGCAAGTAACAGAGCTCAGAGCTTGTCGCACATTGGAAGAGACACAAGATTGATCGCCACCGGAGAAAAAGCTATAAGCCGTCGGTGTTATCTTCAAATGCTTAAGTCCGACCGCAGACCCGAACATGTCCGATCAACTTCGAACATATCCGACTCGTATATATTCGGTCAAAACCTCGACTGGTCGGAGATGATAGCTATTCACGTGAGGTTGACAGAGACCGCACTGATTTTTCTAGACGGGTTTGAAATATAAACCTAGTCCAGTTCGCTGCTGCCCGCATCGACACATACTACCACAATTCACCTGGTATCAACATCATGACCTCTTCTACGGACTCTCGAAAGAGCCAAACGAGCTTGCCTATCGTCCACAATGTCGAGAGCGACAAGAAGGAGCTAAAGGCAGCCGACCTAGCATCTGAGACTCCCGCGCCTTCATATGCAGAAGGTGGCACCCGAGCTTGGCTGGTAGTCCTTGGATGCTGGTGTGTAGCATTCGCCTCTTTTGGCATAGTCAACACGTTCGGGTATGGCCTCTTACATGATCATGATATACACTCGATACCTGACCCAATGCAGCATCTACGAGACCTACTATTTGCGGACCTATCTTCGCGACTATTCTCCCTCTACTGTTGCTTGGATAGGCTCTCTTCAAGCCTGGGTCCAGCTCTCAGCCACTCTAATCTCAGGTCCCATCAGCGACCGCTACGGTCCACTAGTAAGTTTTTTGTCATCTCAACATCGAATATACTTGCTGATCATCCTAAATAGGTAATCGTCTTGCCATTCTCGCTGTCTTTGGTCATTGGCATGATGCTCACCAGTCTTTGTACCAAATTCTATCAGTTCTTCCTGTGTCAAGGTGTTCTGCTCGGCGTTTCTTCAGGCCTCATCTATGCTCCGGCTCTTTCTGTCGTCGGTCACTTCTTTTTCGAGAAGCGCGCTATGGCGATGTCGATTGCTTCTAGCGGATCTCCACTTGGCGGCATCATATACCCTATCATCTTGAACAATCTGATTCCAAAGATTGGATTCGGATGGGCTCAACGTGTGTGTGGGTTTCTAAGCCTGTTTCTGCTGTGTATAGCCGCCTTGACACTTCGTCCCCTGGACATCAAGAGAAAGGGTTCCTTCATACTGCTCGAGGCCTTCAAGAAGCCAGCATACTCGCTCCAAACCGTCGCTCTTTTCCTCGTCCTTCTGGGATTCTTTTCCCCTTACTTTTACCTCGCTGATTATGGCTTGGCTCATGGAGTGTCGCCTCATCTTACCAACTACCTGTTTGCATTCCTCAACGCTGGGTCTCTGGTGGGTCGTGTGGGAGGCGGCTTTGTAGCTTTGAACCTAGGCATGTTTAATGCCACGGTCTTTGCTTGTTTTGCTGCTGCGCTGCTTATGTTCTGTTGGCTGGCCATTACCTCCACTGGAGGGTTAATCGTCTTTGCTCTGTTGTTCGGAGCCACAAGCGGCATGATCATCGCATTGATTTTTCCCGTCATCGCACACATGGCAGATCATCCCAGTCAAGTTGGTGCCTGCTTCACAACCACAGTGATGTTTCTGCTAACATATCTTGCAGATGGGAACCTATCTCGGTCAGGCGACTTTTGTCTTTGGCTTTGCTGCTTTGGGGGGCGCGCCCATCGTTGGTGCGCTGTTTAGCGCTTATCCTGGGTACGAGCAGGGTATCATCTTTAGCGCGTCTGTCATGATGGCTGGCGCTGTTCTCATTACAGGTGCTAGGTACCTGTATGCTCCTGACAAATTGCTTGTTTGATATGCAAGATGTGGTTGATGTATGTAACCGCCAGTAGGGTTATGCCTTTGGTGGATAAAGCCATCATCGGGATCCCAGGACGCAAAATTACTCTGGCATGTTTACAATGAATGTCAGATTGTAATAATGTAGATGATCTGACATTGATGTTGGACACGTCAGCGACAGTCAAAACTTCATAGGCAGACCCCAAAAACAAGATAGAAGTCCAAACATCCAATGGGCAACCAGCGCATTATCCTGTCTCCATCGCCACCCGCGAAAAGCGAAAACTTCCTCATCTAGCAAAAGAATGAACCATACATGGGGGCGACAGTCGAAAGACCAATAGAGGAATCTCCTCAACAAACACTCTTGCCGCATCCGTCAGCTCTATTACTGACACAGATGAACAAAACACCGCCGTCGCTCATGGTGGTCTTGAACTCGGCACTACCGTCACTTTGGACACATTCAGTGGAGGACTAGGTGATGGAGTTGGCCTCGCCACTACGGAGCCTAGAGCCGGTATACCAAGCCCAGGAAACGCACAGGTTGTTCTTGTCGCGGGACAGACAAACAGATCTGGGTCTGCTGTTGTCTCGGCCCTTGGAGAAGGCTTCTGTGAGCAGACCAGAGAGGTAACCGCCAAATGCTGCTGAACCGGTTGCAGAGACGAAGCTGCCAAGAGCATGGCCGATGTTGCAACCGAGGGTCTGGATGTTAGAGAGACGTTGACAATCATACCAATCGCGTTTTCGGATGTTTGCGGAGATGTCGCTGTCCTCATCATCAGCGTATACGGCCATCTGACTAGCGAAAGCGACAACTTCATCGAGCGAGTCATCGACGGTATAGAGATCGAAGTTATAGCCTGTGCCGTTGTGATAATGCTCGCCCTTGTAGAAGATGTCCATGCTGGGATCGACGTGCCGAGCCATAAGCTCTGACACATCACCAGCTGGAGAAGCATGGGCCCCAAGGTATCGATTCAGAGCAGTGGCCAGAAAGCCAACGAGGAGAAAGGTGAGGAGAGTCTTGAGGCTCTTCATACCAAATATCGGCGCAGGGTTGCAAGTTTCACAGAGTCTGCAACACCCAGTGTGAGAGACGCATGAGGAGTATAAGGTTGGCTTGAGTTCAGACATCGGAGCAGAAGGGTTACGCGTAGACATTGTTGGGTTTGTTGCAAGGTGACAGGGGCGGACTATCTGTATTTAGTCTTAAATGGTGCCAATCCTCACAGCGAAGTGAACAACGAGGTATTCATCGCAGCTCTTCTCTGTGTCTTGAAGAGCCGAGGACGGCGGTGTTAGCGTTTTTTCAAGCTTGGTAAGGATGCAAGTTTGACATATTGTGTGCATCAGGCGTCTGATCTGAAGGATACCAGAGATGATCAGAGAGGAAGATCCTACAATACGAGACACGAACTAAATCGGCATTCCTATCATAGCTTTCCTTGATGAGCCATTGGTTCTGTCTTTGAATTGAACGGAAGAGCGACACCCGGAAAGTCGTTATGTGGTCAAGCAAAAGTCGTTTCAAGCGTCATTTTCGAGGTCGGAGACAGCCAGGTTATTAAGCAGCTTGCTGCGCTTCTGTTCTGTACAACAATTGCCTCAGATTTCAGTTTTACGTACAAAAGAGTCCAATCGCGTAGCACGAGATGCGTTAATTAGTTGGATTCGACGCACGGATTCCAACTTTCGACTTTTACGCCAACATCTCCGACTACAGGTCTGCTCTATAGTTCTCGAGCCTAAAAAGAAGACTTTAAGCGGACGAGGCCTACGAAAAGCGAGCAAGCAAGGCACGAGCAAGTGAGTCTAAGAGGGACGAAGGAGCGAGACGTCTTTAGAAGGCGAGCCGGTATCTGCTAACAAATACTACTTGCGTGTGCGCGTATCGGATTAGCGTAAGTTGCGACTCCATTTGGCGATCGCATCGCTGAACAACGTATTCTTATCAATCGGGTCGGACTTTCCACCTGCTTCTGTCGCATTGACTTCTTGTGCTTCTCAGTCGAGACGCGAGACTCTCGACTGACGTTGATATCATTGCAGAGCCAGCATCATCAATCCAAGCGACGCTGTACGACGCAGACCAGCGATAAAGCTTCGAGACTCGTGTTCGCGGACCCCTAGGAACTAGTCCATACGGTGTCTGAGCTTGTCTGAAAACTTGATTGTTCAAAAAGCCATATGTCCTGCTTATTCCCGCCTTGGGGCGACGATCTTGATGCGCGTATGGTTACACGGTTTGTGAATGACTCTGACAACCCTCGTAAACGATGGACTTATGAGCATCAAGTACCACGATTCCTCGTTTCCTCGCTACGACCGTCTATCATGGGTAGACTCATCGAGCCGACCTGGAGTGTCAACGATTGCGAGGTGTTTTAAGAGCAAACACGAGGCGAGGAGAAAGGGTATGAAAAGAGTCCCGAGACTGTGCCAATCAGTTCATCCGCTTTGGGCTTAGTTTTCCTCCCCACGCCGCGGCTATCCGCACACCTCACTGCTGAGGCATCACAACGTGCTGTTCGTTGCTCGCACCAACCATTCCGGCCTCAGGTTCGGTTGTTGCTTGCCGAAGCGACCCGAATGTCTGCAGTGATGGTGGGCCTGCAAGCTAACCAACAAAACAGCTAGGAGCCACAAGAAAGGCCTATCGTTCTGCTGAAACCAGAACTGAGGTTGGCCTCGTTTCAGGTGATGGTCTCGAGAAGCTTATGGTACGGAATGAATACGTTTTTCTATCTATAATGTTCAATCTACACCCTCGATCTATAATTCCTCATCCGATATTTCGCACATCTGACTTTAGAAGATGCATCATGGGGTAATCAACCATAGAATCCAGGAAGCGTATAGTTGGCTGGGGTTGTGTCATGGACCTGTATGTGGCCAGCTCTATCGTAGACGCCCTCGGCAATCTTGACACCATTCAGAATGGTATAAAGCATGTGACTGCCCGAGACAAGTTCGAACTTATGCGACTTGTGCTTTTTGCCGTCTGTGGTGATAGAAGTTAGCAAGAGACCAAGAGCATATAATTACAGAGACACCAACCTTTCGACACGTATCGGGCATCACGGAACTGCCACGGGGTGTACTTGGCATCAAGGTGTCCTTGTGGGCCTAGTATGTTTAGGTACAAGCGGGACTCGGTGATCCATTCCACATCTCGGAAAGTGAGTTCAGAGGTCTGGTTAATGTATGTCGTCGAGTATCTTTTGCCAGTTCTTTTGTTGTGAAGGTATGTTGTGCCAGAAGTCTTGTTGTGTGCAACAACACGCGCAGAGATAACGTCTCCTGCCTGAATGTCGGTATCGTTATAGAAGTCCTGAAGAGCAGGGAAATATTCTGTCCAGATTTTGTAGCTTGTAGAAGTGCCTTTCTGTGCGAAACAAGATACGCCTGCAGATGTCAGGATATTGACGTAGAGTGTTTAAGGTTGTAGTGGAATATGCTCACCAGTCTGGATCAAGCCTCCGACCTTTGAGTACCCGCCCATACCGACCCAACCGTCTGATTCATATGTGGAATACGGGCTGTATGGCTGGCCTACACTGCATGTAGGAACGGTGATATCAGCGCTGATTTCCCTTAGGTCTTCGCCAAAGCGCACGCCACCCTGGAAATGATATCAGTATTCCATTGTTCAATTTTTGGGCGATATGATTACGGCATAGATAGTCCCATTGATCCTCTGGGAGCCAGATCTTGTGATAGAATCTGCTGAAGCTGTGGGTGAAGCTGCTGGTGCAGCATTGACACTCAATGCTGCGATGAATCCTGCGGCTATATGCCTGAGGATCATTGTGGAGATGAGATCTTGTGAGGATTGATCTGTTGGCGAAAAAACCGGTGTTGTCAAAGTGATGGAAGGACTACCGCGATGGCTTTGTAGACAACTACTTAGGCACGCAAGTGCTATTTATATATTTTGTCAACGATGTCGCATATTTCGACATATGACGATGCCAAAGCACATAACGTTTTGTGTAACTCAGAGCTCCGCACGGACAAGCTTCCGGTTAACCTTAATCGAACGTCATTGTGCGAACTCATAAGTAGGGATGGCGTCAATACGAACAGTTCCAGAACTCCTAATCAGAGATAGCGTCAACACGAACAGTTATCAGATTCCCAGTCAGTCACGTCGGAGTGGCGGACGCGGATTTCTTAGCAAACGTTTGACGCTTGTCGATGGCAGCATGCAAAGTATGGAGCCGGAAAGCGACCACGAGACAAGAAGCAAGGAATCATCTTATTGAGACACATGATCCCTATGTGCGACTTCATCAATGCCCATATCGATGATTTGACATCGCGTTGTACTTTGTGTTCACTAAGGGTCACGGCCATAGAGGACTCAGTGAGATATTTGTAAGTAGGCTTTGACAGCCGAGACACGCCAACGCCATACAGAGTCTGGATACGAGGTGACGTCCAACTTCAATTCTGATGCGATAGCTTGACATCACACTGGAACTTTGTATTGTCCGTTCTGATCACGAATTACGCGTCCTTCATCAAAATACCAGAAGCTCGACTCTCCAAGTTTTTAGATAAAGTAGTCGTTGTCGAACGCTTGTCCCATTGCGTCGGTATACAATCATGCATATCTTTTTCTGCCTCACAGTCGCCGCATCAGCGGTGTCTCTCGCATCTTGTCGGTCCATCTCTGACAATGTCGTTCTTCACGAGCAAGTGACTCAAGCTATCGTTCAACGCGAGACAAAGCTGGGACGTCTCTCAACGGACACCATTTTACCAGTCAGAGTCGCCCTGAGACAAAACAAACTCGAGGCAGGCGAAGAACAACTGCTCAAGATATCTGATCCGGACTCGCCACAATACGGACAGCATTGGACACAAGAGCAGACTATCGACTTCTTTAAGCCTGCAAACGCCACTGTCAAGGCTGTGACCGAATGGTTGGTGGCTTCAGGAGTCAACAAGACTAGAATCACGCATACCGACAACAAGCAGTGGCTGGCGTTTGACGCCACGGTCAGCGACATGGAAAGCCTGCTTCACACCAAGTACTACAAGTATAAGCAGTCTTCTCAAAAATACGCAGCTGGTTGCGATGAGTATTACCTACCCAAGGACTTGCAAGCACATGTCGACTTCATCAAACCTGCCATCATGCGCAGCTCGCTAGCGGCTCCTGGGAACATGATCCAAAAAAGAGACTCCGCAGCCAGGAACGTTGTTCACGCCGCTGGCACCAAACGCGACTCGAACTCGATCGACCTGTCAGACTGCTACAACATTGTGTCTCCTGCTTGTGTCAGAGCCTTGTATGGTTTGCCATTTCCAAACACAACGCAGACGGCCGATAATGCTACGTCTATGGGTATCTTCGAGACTGGCCAGACATACTCCCAGGAGGATCTCGATGAGTTCTTCCAATCATATGCCCCTTACATCCCCAACGGGACTTCACCTGTCCCAGAATCTGTCGATGGTGGCGAAGGACCAGTTTCGTAGGCCAACGCTGGTGGCGAGGCTGATCTCGACTTCCAAGTAGCGTACCCCATTGTCTATCCACAGAAGCTTATCATGTATTCGGTCAACGATGCGTACTATACTGGACCATCGAGCAACACCACTGGCTTCCTCGACACCTTTCTCGACGCAATCGATGGAAGCTTTTGTGCCTACAGCGCGTACGGTCAGACGGGAGACAGCTCAATCGACCCCTCGTACCCTGATCCGCATTCTGGAGGCTACCGAGGACAGTTGATGTGCGGCACTTATCAGCCTCCTAATGTCATCTCCTTGTCCTACACAGATACAGGAGTGGGTTTGCCAATCAACTACCAGAAGCGTCAATGCAATGAGTACCTCAAGCTCGGACTCCAGGGAGTATCCATGTTCTTTGATTCGGGCGACTTTGGTGTGTCTGGTGTACCCTCGGATATCGATGGTGTCGGTCTGGATGGTTGCCTCGGTCCGAATCACACGGTCTTCAATCCTCAATTCCCAAACGGCTGTCCATGGGTTACTGTGGTGGGAGGAACCGAGATCGGGTACATGAACAGTGTCTACGAGCCCGAACTCGCAGTCAGCAGCGGCGAGCCGTCTCTCTATGGTCCTTTCTTTTGGTCCGGCGGCGGCTTCTCCAACGTGTTTCCGGCCCCCGGTTATCAGAAACATGCCATCAAGACCTACTTCAAGAGGAAAGATCCCGGCTACCCATACTACGAGAATGGAATCGCAGGATTTCACGGAGACACCGTCGGTGACGATGGAGTTGACTATAACAAGACAGATGGACTGTACAATCGCAACGGCCGTACTTATCCCGATGTTTCCGCGGTGGGATCTGATCTTGCCCAGGTCCAGAATGGTTACAACATCACCGGGAGTGGTACAAGTGCTTCAGCCCCGTTGTTCGCTGCGGTAATCTCTAGGATCAACGCAGAGCGTGTCCGTGCTAGCAAGAGTCCGCTTGGCCACATCAATCCGGCAATCTACAAGCACCCGGATATGCTTAACGATATTGTATCGGGCTGGGATCCTGGTAAGTCTCACGTTAACAAATGTGTCGATGATCGGTATATGACTAAAATGGTCTTCTAGCTTGCGGTTCGAATGGGTTCAACTGCACAGTGGGCTGGGATCCTGTGACCGGGTATGGAACGCCAAACTACCCCAAGATGCTTGACTTCTTTATGAAGTTACCAGCTGGTCGTAATCACTCGAATTAAGACTGGTTATGCGTAATTCATAACTAGCCTGTCATTCCCTAATATAGTAACCATTAGAGATTGTGTACTTATATAGAAGAAGAGCTTCGGGTAGTCTCTTTAGAGATCCCAATAATTTAGGAAAGGGGTTAGCAAATCTAGTACTTTATCAGGCCTTTTTAGTTCTTCTACTGCCTGGCTTCTTTGCCTCGGATGTCTTGGGCTCTACAGGCTTGACTTTTTCCTTAGCCTTTACTTCTGCTCTCTTCTTAGCGCCTCTCTTCTCGGCCTCCTAGATCATGTTCTCCGAGTACCCCTAAAGCTGTTTTTGCAACTCTTCGTCCAATGTCTCCCTTCTAAGCAATCTCGCGGCATTCCTTAATTAGCCAACCACCGTTGCCTCTTCCCCATTACGCTTCCATTATAGCGTACAAGAAGGACTAAGCGCCTTACGAAGGCGATTTAAGGATGATGTACTATATAGGGTAAGTAAGGAGGTAGAGAACAAGACCAGTAATAGAGCCCTAAGTAAGATAACGGCGCATTCTAGGGGTACGTGTCTAACCAGGATTAACCAAGATGACTCTTACGTTTATAGGGTTCTTGTCGGGACGAGCGTAGGCAGAGAGATGCTTCTAGAAGGACTGGGCAAAAGTCATAAGGGCAAGTTTAGAGGATATATAGGCCGAGTAAGGGTTAAATCGCTCGGCTCTTTCCTTTTGTCTAATTTTTGCTTTCTTAACACCGGTAACGGGAAGAGTACCACCAATATAGGCACTATAGGTTGCCATAAGGATGCGGACATCGCGGTCTGGCGACTAAGCGCGGATAGCAAGAGACAAGATGCTAAGTAGGTAGAAGTTTGCAAGGTAGTTTAAGCCCTAATTGATCTCGACATCGTCGCCAGTCTTTCAAATCTTTCCGCCCTTAGGGGTTAGGGTATTTGCGTAGAGGATGATCATGTCGAGTCGGCGTGGAGGGGTATTGTCGACCCACTTAGTAGCGAATTAACAGATCGAGTAGAGCGAGGTAAGGTCGACTTAAGCGGCCGTGATGAGTCCGTTATCAGAGCGTTCGCGCAGTTCCTCGACGTATTTGATAAGGAAAAAGTCGTTTAGGGCGTGTTAGGTAAGCAGAACCAGCTAGGCACCTCGTATGGCCAGGTCGCGAGCGACTTTAGCTCCTATGCTAGATGTCCCGCCAGTAATTATGACAACCTTGCTATGCATGTTTCGCTCCGACGTATTTGTAGCGCCTTAAAACCATCTTCGGATTAGGTAGACGACGAGGACAATAGGCAGGAGCTTAAGTAGAACAGCCGAGTTAGGCACTATGTCTAGGCCATCAAGGATCGCCTTTTATATTAGCGGAATAGGCATCTTGTTGACGTTTAAGAAGGGAAGGAGCTCTAGGTCGTTGCTTCCCTATAAGGGGAGAAATGTCGCCGTAATCCAAAGTCCGCAATCTCCGGGTCATAACTGCCATCTCTACAGTTTACGACTAAACAAAGTCAAATAAGGCGTCATTGTCATCGTAGCTCCTTCTCTTTCTTTCCTTACGCTAACCATGTTAGAGAGCGATGACGAATATTATAGCGTGCCACTAAAGGACCAGCGATACTTTGGAGCGGGTATTAGGCGTTAGCGCGTCCATTTTATGCCCTCGTCGACCTCGGAATCTACCACACTCGCTAGCGCATCCACTCCCTCGACTTTTTCGGCGAGCGAGCGCTATCTACAAATCGTCCTGGCTAAAGCCTCGTCGACGCCACCGCCGTCTTTAGAAACCTTAGCAGACGACAAGACTCTGTAAACATGCGACATCTACAAAACACAATACGTAGGCGTTAGAGCAGCGTACTATAGCTCGCTAGTCCACCAGATTGCCCTTCCGCATTCACACCCTCTCTCGGCTCTCGACAGAAACCGCAAAGGCCTAAGCATCCTCCAATCCTACGGCTAGAATCCTAATAAAAGACTCGGCTTAGGCGCTTAAATAGAAGGTATTCTACATCCTATAAAGGCAAAAGAGAAGCGCGACACTGTCGGTTTGAGCGTCAATCTTAACGACGACGAACCCACTTTAAAGAAGAAGAAGAGGAAACTTGTCTAAGATGCAAAGCCTGTTAAGAGACTCGATGCCAGCAAGATTAGAAAACTCGAAGAAAGTAACAAGAAGAAGCACGAGAGACTGCAGAGCCTGTTCTACTCCAATGATGAAGTCGACAAGTATCTTGGCTCTGGTTGGACCCCGAATCTTCTCTCCCACCGACGAAATTCACCTTGGACCTGACCAGCGGATCAACATTCCACTATCGCCTGCATCGAGCACGAATCCCATGACCACCAGCTTCTGACAAATCGGATCTGTTCGACAAACACATCTCAGACCCCACGTGTGATGTACATCATGTACATCATGTACATTTGACAGTGCACACGGGCCGCCTCCTTCTGCACCATCAAGACAGCCTTGTTTCGAAGACAGCTAACTCCCTTCACACTGCAATCCGCTCTGACTGGACCAGTTTGCAGCAGTTTGCACATGACATTATTGTATACAAGCAGGTGATCTCTAATTCATGCGCATTTGGGCTCGGTCCGCTCCCTTTCTTCCACCATTCTAGGCAATAACGGCAGAAGACTTTCCACTCGCATGGGCATCCAGTCTCATGACTCTTATACTGTTGCTGACTCGATCATCAACCTCGACGAACTTCGGCATACCTCCCCAAGCATCTCGGGTTATGTATCAACATGCACAGCATCACTTCAATTCAGTGCTCGTTTGGGCTGCCAGACTTGAATCCTAAATCTCTTGAGTTTCCAAAACGAAAACTCCATAATCAAGACACCAGCCATCGCTGCCACGATCGAGTAACGTAGTCAAGGTTTCTTCCTCGATTTACCTATTTCCAGAAACAGCGTGTTTTATTGATATCTTCCTCGTGCTAGCTCTACTACACCCCATGCTTCCACCTACCTCTGCCGCTTGTGAGCACTTAATGCCCAACGACGTGGCAGACACCTGCACGTGCTGCCCAAAACCCGCCATCATGCGATAGCGGGAACCCAATTCTGACGGGTCGCCAAAAGATTAGCCGCTGTCAGAATGTGACGAGTGTTGCTATTGGTTCGCTTAGTTCTCCAGATGCATCTTGCACGCAGTTGACAACGCCCAAGAATGGACTCTGGACCCAAATGTCGCAGAACAACCAAGGTTTGCACAGAAAAGTCATGGTCGAATTGTTCCTGTAGAGAAACCAGTATAGATGACTAAATCATGACATCAATAAAATTCGTAGGCCGCGAGGCACTTGAGAAACTAAACAAAAGAAGACTTATCTCAAAACCCCCGAGAAAAATGCAAAAAAAGACAATGAGTCTAGAATGATACCAGCCACGAATAGACAAAAGAAGAAAGAAAAAAAAAGAAGAAAACAACACTTTTTCCCCCTGGCCATCCTCTCATTCAAAGCCTGAATTCCTCTCTCCTGTGCACGAAACAATCACAAGAAGCGTATCAGAGAACAAGAGAAGAAAAAAAAAAAAGACAGAAACTTGGTAACGGGATCGAGAAAATCGAGCACCAGGGTGCGGGGATGAGCAAAGGAGAAACTCGAGGCAGTCCCGGTCCAGTATGCGCCATGCTGTCTACTGGAGGTCTTGAAGAAGCAAAAGGGTATCTCTGTAAGCCAAAGTAGGAAAAAACAATGTTAGGGCAAGTCAAAAAGGCACCCGGTGGTTGCGCCTGTTTGTGTTGAATCGATCAAGTGGTTTGTTTGCCAGTGGCTGGGGCTGGGGTCGAGATGTCTGTAGTTGGAAACACCATGTAGTGTAGTGTAGAGTTTGGGTCCACACGGTACAGTGGTGCTGCGTAGCTCGTAGAGCAACTTCCAATCGATCAAGTGTATCGAGGTTTGTCGAAACAGGAAACGATGGTGGCGGCTTTGCATTTGCTTGTCTAGCTTTTTTTCAACGACAAGCTCTTAACACATCCTCACAGTTGGCATCGAACCGCATACTCCATAGCCGTATCCCCGTCGTCAGTTTCTCCGTCCTCTCCAACTCTCTGTCCCGTCTAAATATCGTCTCGACAAACTCTCTGCCAGAGTTGTTGCCCATGTACAGCTTCTTACTCCCGCGCTCGCGCTTCGCAGTCTTGAGCATGTGTTTCTCACACACTTTTAGCAGTGTGTTGAACCTTTCCCACAGCCGTTCTCCACTGTCCAAGAAATCGTCGAGCAGTTCGCGGTCATCGCGACGGCGGATCCGCGGCAGTGATTCCTCGGCGCGTTTGATCTTGCCGGCCAGTTGGATAAGGAAGAGCCAGAGGTCGCCTGCCATTTCTGCAAACGCGGTCGAAGGTCCGTGAAAAGCGACCGTCCAGTCGTAGATCCATTTCCTGAGACTGTTGGTGTCGAACACGCTGCCGAGAAGTAAGATGGGCTCTTCGTTCGGATCCCAGTTTTTGAAGTTGTAGCCGACGGGGATGCCAGCTTCGCGCGCATCGCGGTCGGTGGCGGTGGCGCGTTTAGGGGTTGGTGATGGTTGTTGCTGACGAGGTTTGGCAGGAGCAGCAGGGTCGCGAGGCGCCGATTGCCTTGGAGTCGAATAGGAAGCAGCTCTCTGTTTTCTCGTAGCCAGGGGGTGGCGGTGTCGTAGAAGATGTGTGATATTCGTGACCCATGTTACAATGAGGCGATCCGATATAATATGATGAATAAGGTGGATACATGTCGAAGTGGAAGAAGTCAAAGAAAAAGAGAAGCAAAATAAAAAGATATATCAAGTTGTCGACGAGGAGATGATCAATCAATCAATTGTCCAGGTCGAATCTTATAGATGAATGTATAAGTCAAGTGCCTCGTCTGCTGCTGCTTCTGATCTCGAACGTTTGCTTTGTCCTTTGTGTACCCAACATTTGGCTTCTTGCAAGATTTAGAGCAGCGTGGATAGGAGATGGTTGTTTCCAAGATAGAAAAGGTCCCTCGGCAGACGCGGATCGTTATGGTCGCGTCGCAAGTCGTCGCAAAGGATCAATATGAACGGACAGGGATTGGCTGACGTTGCAAGCAGGGAAGCAGGAAATAAGCAACCGTCTTCAAGTAGGGAACAAGTCGAGGACAGAGAAAGATGGCTGGGATGCAGACCTCGCCCAGCACAAAACACACGAAGCTGTTGCGTCTCAAATCTCGCGAGGAGCGCGAATTTGTTGTGGCTGGACAAAATGCGTCTGGGCGGTGCCTCTTCCGTCCGCAAACTCATCAAACTTGATAATAGCCCGTCCAGAGATATGCGTCGTCCTCTGCTTTCTGTTTTGACCGAAACAATGGACAGCTGGTTTAGTTCTGCGCAAATGCAGTCGACGAGTAAAAAAAAGGGCTGTGATCGACTTTTGGTTCCTAGCTGCTTTGCCGAGTGGGAACCATCGCGCATAAAGATGAGAAGACGAACCCGGCAGCATGCAGCTTGTCAGCCCCAAAAGATGCAGAATTTGCCTAACCCTTGCACGTTGCTCCTTTATCACTCCTCCCACACTAAATCCATGCCACCATGCATCAGCTTAGTCCCGTTCTTGCGGCACCCACCGTCATCCTTTTTGATCCTGCCGAGATGCGTGCTGAGCTGAGGGATAGACGTTCCAATAACAGCTTCGCTCGAGGGCTTCCGGTAGGTCGGGTTTGTGATGAGGTACCACACAACTCAGATCATACAAGCGAATCACTCTGCCATGCTTCTTTCCTTGCCTTGCCTTCCACTTAACCACCAATACCCAGTGCGCTGCCTGGATACATATCCTTCGAATCATCGTCAAAGGACAAGAAGAGAGCATCAAACGACCCCCCACGCGCGGGTAGCCGCAACAAGTTTCGTATCTTTTCCCTGCCCAGAACAAGCGAAAGAGGCATACCAAGGCGCGTGGCGTGCAGCAATAAAGGATCATGATGCAGCGGATCCCGGCGCCACAGAACCAGTTGGTGACAGCCCAATATGGCCGCCAACGCATTTCTTCCGTGCCATGGTCAAGGGAACTATTGTTGCCCTTGGCCTTGCCGACTTGCATGCCTACTTCTTCCTTGGTCAGCGTCCATGCGCACTCCTATTTTCAACACTGCAACAGATCCGGTCTCAGCCAGATTGGGTCTTTACAACTACCCTGTCACATTCTATTCGCGTCTCTCTCTTCGGTCGATCCGTCTTCAACTGTCAAAAATCACGTCTGAACGTGAAGTTGTTTTCCGGGGGCGGAAGGGTCAACGGTCTGTCAAAACGTGCGCCAGCCCTCTTTTTTCTCCTCCAAGGTTTGACCTTTCTTTAGACCTCTTTCGCTGTCGTGTGTGCCACTTGGCCACCACATTTCTCACGTAGATTGCCACCAGGACTCTTCATTGTTGACCGCTCATTTCCTGTCGCTACGCCGCCCATAACAGCAAAGCTATGCTTTTGTCCAACACAGTTGACAAAATCAATGCACGCGACTGGTCGTTGTCTCAAAGTCGGGCATCAGAAAGAGACACTCTTTTAATTGGACCCGTTGTGTGTGCATATGGTGCACAGCGCGTTGCATATCACATCTCACCGGCGCGAGGGTATTTGAAGACAGAAGACCTTATTGTGGCTGTTGATTGGATAGCCGGTATAATCGATCCCGACTTCCCCTGTCCATGCCACTGGGATTTCACCATCCTCGCGTGCCGTGATTGGCGTTACTTGCCCACGGCTGCATGACACCAGGGTATGCTCGGCTATTTAGCTTCCATCCTGAGATATGTATCCATGCCAAAGGTAAACTTGAAGAATTTTCCATGTTCTGTTTGTTTGCCAACACTTCTTGAGACTCACCGCCGATGGGGCTTTTCAGCAACAGTCGGTGAAGAAAGGCCCGCTGAGTCTCGACACGAGATGGAAGAGAAGGCAAACAGAAGTCAAAAATGGCATTGCTGCGTCAACCCTTGAGGCCGGTGAAACCTGCTCGATATTGTCAATGTTGTCGTACGGACGTATGTATGTGTCATGGTCTGAGGTCTCTGTCGCCTCTTCCAGACCTTCCACAAAAGGGAGAGGGGGTTGGCAGGCTATTTTGCATAGGCAAGGAAACTGCGTCGAGTCGGACAGGAATGAGAACTTCAATCTCTGTTGTTAAGCTTCTTGCTGCATGCGCGCGTGTGTGCATGTCGGTCGGGGTCGCACATCGGAAATCAATTGGACGAGATGAAGGCGAACCAGGTGTATGAGGGTCAAGATGCAACTGCTGATCTCCAATGCTTTCTCGTCCCATTAAGTTCATGTGATCCCGACGGTGTGGCTCCGCAACTTCCCAGATTTGCGCAAGCGAACACAAGAGGAAGCATGGTATGTTGCAGAACTGAGCAGGCCTGTTGTTAGCAATACGGCTTGTCAACCTCGTGACAAGCCATTGTGGGAGTCAATAGTTGACTTGCATGAGAGAAAGATCAACCGAGGCGCGTGGTCAAGTCGCACAAAAGCCGCCTGTAGTGTCTGTAGGATCAGAAAACGACGTGCTGATCACCTTCGGGAAAAGAGTCTGCTCCATGTTGAGACGTGATATTCTGTGGGGTCTGGTTCTTGCAAGGAAGTCGATCAGTCGGCGGCGTTGGGCCAATGCAAGAAGACGGGTAGCAAAGGTATCAGATGCAGAATGACATGCATCGACATCAGATGCCTTGATCCTTTGCCACGGCCATTGGCTTCCAAGTGATAGTTCTCAAACAAGACGCAAGACATCATCCCTCTGGTCCTTGCATGAAAGATGGGGAGGCGCCGCTTTTGACATGTCGCTTCTCATGCGCAAAGACTCTTTGAGCTGTTCAAAAGCATCAATGTTTCGAACGGATATACGCATACATGGTTCATCTCATCATAAATCATCAAATCTCATTACAGCTTCGTCCTTCCTTTATCGGTCGTGCGTCTGACAGGCATGCGCGGGTTGATCCTTAAGGGATCGCTAGGACCTTGGTCTGCCTGGTTTACAACAGAGATGGGAGTCGGTTGAATAGCCTGCAGGCGGGCGTTTGTTAGCTAGCCGACCTGTCGCATGAGGGCGCTGAGTTAGGCGCCTTAGTAGGCCAGTTCGTCCTTAAGGCGCATATTTTCGTTTAGCAGCATCATGCTCAGCCTGGTGTCGACCTCATGGATAGTATTAGCTTGGCGCGAGACTTCTTCACGCAGGTTCTTATGTAGAGAGAGGAGATGCTGAGTCGGAGAGGCGTGAGGTTAGAAGTCTCGGAAGTCTGGCAACTCAAAGTCGGCGATGTTGTTAGGAAAGTACGACGGCTCTTCTGGTGGCGCAGGGGCTCTCTTTTCCTGTTGTGATGTCTTCCTGTACTCGGCCACATCTTGTTGTAGGCTCTAAAGCTTCTTCTTAAGCCGTTAGCGGGCTCGATCTTGTTCGTCCTGGCGCTGTTGCTAAGCGGAGAGATATGGCGCGAGTTTCGCAAGTGAACACATGATAGCATGACTCGACAGGTGCTTGCGCTTGGTGTTGAAGGGACAGCCGAACTGGCGAGCGGGGCAGGTAGCGTCGGTCTCGGGGCAGTGGTGGGCGAGGTGAGTTCGCTAGTGGCGGTAGGGTATCGAAGCGGCGCAGGATGGACACGGAATGTCATGGTCGGCACAGACGGTTGCCCAATGTGACTGTGAGGTTGTGGTCAGCTAAGGTGGACTGGGTGCAGTGGATGCAAAGTGGACGCACGTCGAGGTCTTAGACGGTCATGGATTGTCGACAAGCGAGGCAGGATATAGGCTGGTGCACACAATGCGCACCGTCTTTGCGTAGTAGTTTGCGGTCGCATTCATTGTCTGGACAGTTGGTCAAGGTGTAGTCGCAGTAAATGTTGACGTGGTCGAGTAGATGGCCTCTCTTGACTTGTTTGTCGCAGCCCTCGAACTCCAGCCGACCTGTCGCGAGAGAAGGCTGATGATTCGGGCACTTAACAACAAGATCATCTAGGATGTTGAGCAGGAGCTTGGAAGCTGAACCAGAACCAACCAATCGTCTAGGGCGACGACAAGCTGGGCAGGTGCCCGAGTACTGGTTCTAGCTAGTGGTGGAGTTAAGGCAGTCGCGGCAGAAATGGTGGTCGCAATCGGTTACAACAACCGGGTCGACAAAGGCGCTCCGGCAGATTGGACACATCAGATTGCTGTCGTAGGCCGACACATAGTCGAGCGCGCGCAGGTCGACTTCTGCTTCTCCTTCCTCCACTCAACAGCGGCGGGGTAGAACAAGGGTCTTGCTCCCTGGTAGAGACCCACTTTTTGGGGTACGACCCCGAACTTGTTTTCACCTCTTGTGACAGATCAGGAGAATGGTTCGCATGTATGTTAGTTTCTGAATATATGTCTCTGTATGTGTAAGACGGAGGGCCGGCATAGTGACAACAAAATCGTTCGTGGCTGCATTGCTACCCGGGCAACCCTGCTCCAGGATATTTGTTCGGCAAGAAACATCTACCCAAGCTAGATACACGAAAAACTTCTTGAATTTTGATTGAGATATCCAATTTTTATTGTACTACGAGCTGGAGCAGTGTCTCCTAGTGATTCCCTCGAATTTCCAGCGAAGCGCCACGGTGCGGGGTCGAGATGCCAGCTCCAAGAGGCCGAGGAGGAACGAGAGGCGGAGGTATAGCAGGTGAAGGGAGGTTCGATTTGCTGTCGCAGGGCAGCGTAGAGGGTCAAGGGGAGGAGGATCAGGTTATGAGAGACAGAGAGCGCGCAGAAAAGAGAAAACGAGAAGGGAGACAGGGTGGAGTAAAGGGGAAGTCCTCCAAGACGCGACCCGCGATTCAACAACGACTCCGACTCTGCATCGGCAGAGGCAACACCTAGAAAGAAGCCATCGCCTATAGCGACAAGGATGATCACTAGGAGTTCAGAGAAGAATGGCGCACAAAGGAGCAACGCAATAGAGCTCTCACCGTCACGCGCCAGCCCGACGTCAGATACACAAGATGGAGATACCATGCAGAGAGCACCAACGATTAGTGATATTATGAGACACCTTCTACGACTGAAAGAGAAGGAACGCGAAGACAGGACAAGAGCCCAAGAAGAAAGGGCAAGAGCAATAGAAAGAGAAAACGAATACAAGGACGAGATCAAACAGCTGCAAAGCACTGTCACAGCCTTAGCTCTTGATCTCAAGAGCCTGCAAGAATCAGTACCAAACTGGGGATCTCTGCAATCATCGCTTATGACTGGAACGACTGACTCGTATGCTAGCATAGCAGCAAGAGGAGTCCCAATATCAGAACCAGAACAGGCAATGACTCCCTCTAGAACCTCAGCATCCCGAGTATCTTTTGGTCCATCCGAACGATCGGATAGATCACCTAACGGATCGCCCCTAATATCAGTAGGACAGTGGATCAGAAGCGCAATGAAAAAGACAGCACACACACAAGAAGCAGATATGATCATCGATTTGAGCAAGCTAGATATGGAGGGATACCAAGAACACGATCAAGCAGGCAGGACGAAGAGTCGAATTGAGGCAGCTATCCGGTCAAACGATGGACTAGAAACCGTATAACTAAAGGGATTTATAATAAGGCACACGAACAAGGACGTCCATCTAGCATACTTCAAGATCAACAAAGAGGCCGAAGAGATCGCAAGGGAGCACTCTAACGAGTGGGTTGACGTGTTCTTGCGAGGGGCCAAACTGGTGACCCGAGATGATACCCTATAAAGATTGACTTCGTCCCGACATTTGCAGCGGATAAGCACGACAGGAGAATGATGAGTAAGAAGGCAGTAGACGCATTTGCAAGAGAAAACGATGTCGAAGTCAAACGGATGGACTGGCTAGGCGAGCCAAAACCAAGAGCAAGTCACGCGTCAGCAGTAGCCAAGTTAGCTATAAAAGAACAGGTAGAGAGGCTGCTTGCGCTTTAGAGGGACGGAACGAAGATAAGGATGTTTGACTGCATGGTTGAGGTCTTAGTCTTCTTCGAGAAAACCGGCCCTAGGGCGTGCTATCATGCCCAGAGTGAAGTACATTCTGCATATACTGTCTGACGCCGTGCCAGAGTTGGAGTTGCCAAGCGGTACCAGGAGCTGTTGACTCAAATCACACAGACATTCATCTGGGTATGGCACTTCTATTGAATACTCCGCAAATTGTGGGTATGGCAAAGTTGCAATGATACTGTCAACGGCTTTCGTGTGTCTTATCGAAGAAATAACCCGAGGTCACTTCTGGCGACAGGCTGTTCGAAGCTTACGACTATTGATTATCTCCTTACCACGTTCTTTGTGGGCGTGCATAGGTACTAAGATCAACATGAATGATCGTTTATGTTCAGACTTACTCCATTCAAGAGTCTTAAGAACACGGGCTCAGATTTCCATGGATAACGAAACATCCCTCTGTTTCGCGATATTGCACTCTTGTTTGCTTTACAGTCACCAGCTAGATTCTTTCAAGCATGAGAAAGCCATTCAAACTTGCCTCAGATCATTTTTGGTTTGACTCGCTGCTAGTGCGTCCCCACAGCGCGCTGTAGCATCTATCGTTGGTATAACATGCTAGCCAGCCCAGGACCGTCGATCCCTATATCAGCCAGTGGATCAAAATTTACGTGCGTATGATGTCTCAAGATGGTTTTGCAAGCCTAATCACAGCATCGGAAGCGACATCCTGGCGACAGTCGGTTAAATTGACACGCTGCAACACAGAGGATATCCACAAGTGGATCAGCCATGACCACTCCAACATCTGCTGGTCCTTACTAGCAATGAATGCTACATGGAGCTGTACTGCTGCAAAAACAAAACAGGACAAACGTAGCATAGAAGAAAGAGCTGACACAGCTTGTTTCCCCCTTTCGACGCCCAGTGACGCTCTGTTCAAGCACATCGAGAATGAGGCGGTGGCTTGCCACATTTCTACAAACTATTATGGCCCTGAGCAGTACGTTTATGCTGTGGCAAGCTCTATGTTTGATAACCAACTCCTCCTGCCCGATAATCGTGGTCATTTCGGAATCCATGGCTCCAGCCTTCCATCGAGGAGATGTCCTTTTGCTGTACAATCGACAAGAAGATATTCGTGTAGAAGATGTGCCGGTCGTCTGGTTCTCTGGTCATCCGCTGCCGATGGTTCACCGCGCAGTCCAGGTCCACTGGGCACTGATCAATCACAAACCAACGTGAGCGGAGCCAAACAAAACGCATAATGGAAGGTCGCTTACCGGATCACAGGCAGTTGTTGTTGACCAAGGGTGACAACAATGAGGTGGTCGATGTTCCACTTTATCCTCCTGGTCGGCATACTGTCACAAGAAGCGAAGTTATTGGTCTTGTGCGCGGTTATGTACCTTGGCTCGGATGGATCGCCATTGCACCTAGAGACTTCGTTGCCCTGACGAGCAGATATATCTGTCGGAAAGTGCGAGAGCTGCGAGTGATCCGAGATTAGTCGTCCGACTTCCCGGTCACTCGAGGTGCCGTGGCCTGAGATCGTACTAAGCGTGAGAGAAAGGATGATGCCTTTGAGCGGCTGGACTCACGATTTCTCGCTTCCATGATGGTTGTGACACTCTCTCCTTCCATCTCCATCAGAACTGTGGTAGATTAGTCATATCCTCCCAATTTATCTCCAGTGCAGAATCCATCCCAGGTCCTACGAAGGGATTACCTAACAAGCCATCCTGACACGTCGAGAAACCATCCGGATATGTAGACGTCAGACTACCGCTGTCGTACCCTGAATCTACCACGGAGAGCGTGTTACTCTCACTTGGACTCGGCGTCGTCACACTGGCATCTTTGATCTCGCGGGCTCGATCCAGCAAATGCCAAAAGTGGTTGTGAAAAAACTTTCCTCGCAGCATCTGGTGCTTTGCTGGCATTGAGTTTCTCATCCATGTCCACTGTCACGGTATCTATGACCGCCCACGCTCTATTCGCAGATGGGCTGCGTGGTCGCTTGCACAGCGCTATCAGCAGCCAAGCCATCGTATGCCATTGCGTGTACTTGCAGCCGAAGAACCAGCCAAAGCGGTCGTCTCTGTCTGGCAATTGGTAGGCAATTTCCAGGATGTCAGCTGCATAAGCGATATATTGGTCGTCCTCGGCCTCATCAAGCGTATGACGTTGAGCGTCATTGCCTTTACGGACGTTGTAAAGGGTCCTGGAAAGCTTCGTGATGATCAGGCGTGTGCCCAGATGACAAAGACGCTGCAATGGGTCACTGGTGTCCAAACAAGGGACATAAAGATTCTCATAGCGAGCGATTTGCCGGTCGATCGGATGTTCAACTTTTTCATTGGTCAAAGGAGGCGGAACACACTGTCGACGCTTAATTGTTAGACTTGTCTTCGCCGTCTCGATCGTGATCAAGCTGACGCTCATCTTGGTGAATGAGGTGCGAGCCACGAGTGTCTTGGTAGAAAATCTGACTTCCAGGTCATAGTTGTTGATATGGAGAGGCAGTTTTGTGTCTGTAGTCAGGGGAATATGTTGTTCGAGTCCACAGTCGAGCGAGGTACGATTGTCGAGCTGACAAAGCGTCCACCATGTGCGACGGCGAACTTCCGTCTATATGGCAGAGAGAGAAAGAAGTACCGTCGTGATGAAGGCCCATGGCTTGAGCTATGTTCAAGGCCATACCAGTCAGAATCCAGCAAAGTCGTGTGCTTCGCCCAGGGGCGAACACCTGATAATGATTAACATCCTGATACATCTTCACAAAGACGTGCGGATGCATACACCAAGTAGAACAAGAGCTTGCAAGACCATGATATCTTGTGTTGTCATCCAATCTGCTTTGGCAAGTGCCTTCTGGAGCCCGTAATGGAACTTTCGAAGCATCAAGTTTCGCTCCACCTTGCAAATCGCAAGACAATCTTCTGGGCACATTGTGTATACCGATTCGAACCAAATGGCAAAACAGAGTGACTCAACGGAGGCATCTACATTGTTTTTGCAAGCCCTTGAGATCAGTATGTCAACAGACGGCTTGTAGATGGTCTTAACCAAGATATCAACATGTTGGATTTGATGATTCCACAGGGCAGCACTGGTTATGCTGTCTAGATAATGCGTCTGTAAGTTTTCTTTGGGGCTGGAAATTCCTAGCAGAATACTACTATCCCATTCGTTAGTCGGGTCTCCGAGCCTCGCTCCCGGTTCATCAATAACTTCATTGGCTCCATCTGCAAGTATTGATCCAAAATCAGCCACCTACCATGCGTCAGCGGATTCTCTACTTGGCCCAAGAAGATCTATGAGAAGCAGAACAAGTGCCATCAAGGGTTTCCGACCTCGTGAGTCTGAATTTCGTCAATATACCTCGACTTTCCGTTCGTCGTGAGAAGACTTCCACGGTCCGATGCTTTGACAGCAAGCTTGGCCACGAAATTTCGGTCCTGCATCTCATGCGGCATGACTATGTCATCCTCGCCAGCTCCCTGGGGTTCGACTTTGTCACTAGCGACCGCCGCAACTGTCGTGGCTGGTAATAAGGATCGTGGCGTTGCGGTCGGAGACTTGTATGAATGGAAGCCATCACTGGCGCGTTGAAGCTTCTGCGATTTCCGAGGGCGTCGCGCGGTGTACACACATGGTAGTCCAGCATCGGCACAGTTGGCATAACCAGGAGTCACTTTGTCGCATTTTATTTTTCGTGACCTGCATCTGATGCAGCGTAAGGATGGTGACCAGTTGCGGCATCTGAATAGTTCACATGAGCCATGGCGAAACTGCAGTCTGGTCCGGATTGAGCAGTGGAGGTTTTGAGCTCTTGCAAAACCGAGATCGTGGCTTCGTAGCTTCGTGGCTCACTCTTGCCACTTAGTGCGCCCAACAAGACGATGAAAAAACCACGGAGTATTGTTGTTGGATGATTTACGAAAGGGAATCGTTCAACATGCATATTACGAAGGGTCAGTCGGTCTCATTGTACCCTTCGCACTTTCGCGCCTTCGCACTTTCGCATTTTCGGCGTTTCGCACTTATCTCGACCAATCAGAGATCACATCGCCTTCTTTGCATCAATCACAAACAACCACATAAACATACAGAAGAATTACAGACAGTCATGACTGCTTCATCTCTTGCGATGTTGCTTCTTTCTCCGAGAATAACCCACCCATGATGAGCACCCAAGCCAGCTCTTCAACACTTGAACACGATATGGATCTTCAATCGAAGAGCCCTCACCATCCTGCGAACAATCTTGTCAATTTTGATGGGGACGACGATCCGTACAAACCTCTGAACTGGTCGATGAAAAAGAAGATTACTGTTACTGTCCTCTACAGTCTGTGCACGATGGGCACAACTTGGGCAAGCACAATGTTCAAACCACTGCGTCCAACTCCCACACTCGACTCCTGACTAATTGATGACTGGTACAACAGTTACAACTCTGGATTGCTACAAGTCGAGAGCGAATTCTATGTCAGCCAGGAGGTAGTACTTCTGGGCCTTACACTGTATCTTGCGGGGTGAGCATCTTCGTAGACTTGAACTTGTGACAGACGCTGGAGAGTCATACAGTAATGCTTTCGGCCCCCTCCTGTGGGCACCTATGTCCGAAGCATTCGGTCGCAAGCCCTCAGTCCTCATCCCCATCTTTGGCTTGATGGCGTTCTCCTTCGCATCTGCTACCCCCAAGGACATACAGACGCTACTCATCACTCTTTTTTTGGCGGTATGTTTGGATGTGCGCCCTTGAGTGATGCTGGTGGAGTACTAGCAGATATCTGGCCAGCCGCTCAGCGAGGGGCTGCACTTCTCGTCTGGGGTCTGGCAGTCATCGTAGGTCCATTGGTTGCACCCATCGTTGGCGAAGCCTTGGTTGTCAACCTTGATCATACTGGTTGGAGATGAACCTAATACGTGAGAACGTGCATGTCATACCCTTAGTGAGCTACTCTGGGTTGTTAGACATTCTACAAACCTAAGCTTATTCTACCACCCTTAATGCGCTGCATTCTACACTTTGCCCATTATGAAGCCGTAGATGCTAATCGAAAATTGATGAAGACAACTATCAAAAAACTAAGAACGGCGCATTTTTGATGCATTGTCTGCACTTAGCCATGTGCACCGCGTTCTGGGTGAAATCGTCTGCAAAAGCGTGAAAGATACTTGCATAAAGGATGCCGCTGTACGGTACTGGGGTTTGCACGGATCAGATCGAGCAACAACGAACGATGTGTCTAATATTGTGTTTGTTGTACACAATGCACACAATGGATACGAAAGTGAACGAGCCCAGGCTGACGAATTTGTGCAGTACAATAATGGCGGAACCTATACTAAGAACTTGCAAGCTAGGGACGAGACCTGAGATGTGCAAATTCCGGATCTCACTCCAACGTTCAGTCATGAATCCTGCATGGTAGATCTCAACGGCGGGCATCTTTCCTTGGCCATCCGCGGGGTATGATACCCTCGATTCCAGCCGTAGTCCTCTGTAGCACACCATTTTAGAGGTTGATAGCGGACAGCGGACAATTACGAACTCAAGAAGCGTCGGACATATGGTACGAGATAATTGCGACCTTGCATAAGCCACACAACCCACTCCCACGGGATCACGCCGAAGACGAGGCCCGTCCCGGCAGCGGCACCGATAGGTATGAGTATGTGAGTCGTAGGTCTCGGCGAGTATGTCAGGCTTGATTTCTGACCACATGTTGTCGTTTGTAGATCCGCTTTGAGAGTGGCAAGAAGAACGGTCAGCTGCTGGTTGATGACACGCACATTCCGTGGTTGGCATGCGATGATATCTCCAATGCCATATACTCTGCACGGAGATTGATCTGAAGCCGCGGAACTGACGACGCGAAGATGAGCGTCAACTTTCATCCATCCTTGATCGTCCAGAAAGTGGCCTGGTATGAAATTGTTGCAAGGCAACGGTCCAGTTGTAGAGATGTAGCAATCCGAGCTCATCGTCGTGCCGTCGTCCAACTCGATGATCCATCTCGAGGACAGGTTGTCTCGGTAGGCAGAAGCCACCTTGCTTCCCATCACTACCTTGACGCCCTTACGAGCCAGAATCGCCATAGCATGGAGGCCGACACGCTGGTCGATATGAGGCAGTATTGTGCTCCTCGAAGATATCAAAGTGACACTGCAATTCTTCTCACTCTCCTCGACCATATCGGCAAGCTCGCCTGCGAACTCCACTCCAACGGGACCAGCTCCGCAGATAACAATGTCTGTCGCTCGTGCGAGTTTCTCTTGGCTTTCTATGATATACTCAAGCGTCCGGCCGTCTTGTCGAGCTTTCCACGGAGCCATATCGCCGTCCAAGCCCTCTGTTGATTTGGTAGTGCTTCCTGAAGCAATGATGAGATAGTCATACGCAATCTCTTCGCAATCGGCAAGTTTGACCACTCGAGTTTGCTCAAGAACCTCTGTGGCAAGTCCTTCCACGAATCGAAATGAACCTGGACCATGGCGGGCGAAACAGCTTGGGATGTCGATCATGTATTCATCTGTGCGAATCGCGTCGGGGTTGGCCAGGATCCTTGGAGACGCAATGTTGTAGAAGAATTGCATCGATGGGTTAATCAGCGTCACATGAGCATTAGGTATTTGCTTGAGGACTCCGTGTGCAGTTTTGATGCCGGCGTATGAACCGCCAATAATGACGAAACGTGCGCTATCCCGCGAGATATCCATTTGAGACAGAAAGACGTAGAAAGCTTAGATCTAATCACGTTGCACGTTGGTACTTATAAGTTGTTACCTAAGTTCTTGAAGCTTGCTCTTCGTCTGATTGGAGTGAAACGTTAAAAAGTGGACCGGGTCTGAAGTCCGTCAGAGCAACGACGAAATGGTTTCGGAGAAACCGTATATCCGTAGAAGACCGAAGGATCGAGGACTGGCTTAGACTCGGGATCTTTGCAAGCCCGGAGTCCTACTATCCTCGTGGATTCGGAATCTTTTTGATTCCGGAGTCTGCCAAGCCTTAGGGCGAGGGGCATTCATTTCATCTTGGCGGTCTTTCTCCTTCTACGGAGGGAACATCAATAAGTAAGCAATGACAAATCCGACTTGCGCCTGCCAATGTCGCAGTGATCTATCGAACGAAGCAGAAATTGCATCAGCGTCTCTATAAGAACTCATACTCACAATGATCATCCTCGAGGAATTGATCAACCAAACGAGCCATACTCTCTGCGCATTGTCGTCCCCTCGCAACTATACGGCCGCTCACGAAGCTTCTCTCCCCTCGACATGACAGACTATCGCAGTTTAAAATCGAAACACTTCGTCTTTTTTGGCGGGACGTCTGGTATTGGCCAAGCTGCTGCTGAAGCAGTGGCCAGTGAAGGTGCATTCATCGCCGTTGTCGGACGCGACCCTACAGCAGGCGAAAACACTGTGAAGCAACTCGAGACCCGAGGCGCAGCCAGCGCCACATTCATTCGCGGTGACTTGTCAAGTGTACGAGGCGCGAAGCACGCGGCCATGGAGGTGCAGCGATGGAGCAAGAAGATTGACGGTATCGTCCATTCTGCCATGAGTGCATTCAGTGGCAAGAGAATCACCAATGACGGATTGGAATTCGCGTTTGCCTTGCAATATCAAGCACGCGTCGTCATCGACAACCTACTTCTCGATAACCTGGCAGCTTCGGGGGATGGCAGAATCATCCATCTGGCTGGAGCAGTTCCACAATTTGTGGTCCCTGATCTTGATGATCTACAGTTCGAAAGGACACCCTTTAGCTTTTGGAAGGCGCTTCTGGGTTCCAACAATCTTGGTTTCATGTTCATACAGGAGGCAGGTAATAAGTGGCAAGGTCGATCGGTATCTCTTGTTGCCGCCTGTGTCGGAACAACCAAGACAAAAGCTATGCAAGATCCTGGAATGCCTTTCTTGATGCGCTTTATGGCCAAGTTCGGAACAACACCCGAGATATCAGCCAGAAATATCGTCCAATACCTTAGATTGAAGACCATCCCAAAGGAGGAGAAGTTCGGGATCATGTGGAATTCCAAGCGGTTAGTCATCAGCAAGCCAACACAGCCGCAGGATAAGGCAAGTAAGCTCTGGAAAATTACTAGCCAAATCTCGGAGGATAGAGGCGTACCACTGCCTGCGATGGATGGAACTTCTAAAAGTGGCATGTCCATGACAGTGCATGATAAACTTTGAATCTATGTATGCAGTCCTTTCTCTTGTTTCAAAATTCTAATCAAGCATGTTTGATTGGCTAGAACTCCCACTGACATCGATAACACTATTGGCATATTCCAACTCAAAATGCAATCCTAAGCTATACAGTACAGTCAACTGAGAGTGCAGACACTGGTCCAAGCCAAGACCACGCTCGGCGGCTGGACGTCTGCGCTCTGTATAGATTTGGCCTGACCGATTGCCACATTTTGATCACTTTACCTAGCAACGTCATCGCAGGCCCTGAACAGGAGGAACTGGTACCGGAAAGGACTCTCCACAAGAGGGGCTCTGGCCCCCGCAACGTTCCCCGCGACCCAATTACCATTGGGGGGAACCATGCGGGGGACCAGGACTAAGAGACAATGCACAAGAGGAGCTATCCAGGGTATGAACCGGCTAGAGCGGGCCAGAACCAATTTCAAACCCCCGAGAGTCTGGTCCGGGTCTGACTTTCCTAAGCTGTGCAAGGAGCAAGATCCAAGAAGTCTCCTTGATAAGGCTGCCAAAGTCATAGGAGATCCCATCTGCAGTAAGGTCTAGCTTCTACTGTCCTTGGCTGAGAAAGACTTCCACCTTTGGCAAATCATGAGGGGACAACATGACGATTTTTTGTTACAAATGATCATCAATGTACCACGGAGTTGTAAAAAAAACTTCTGACATCGGCACCTGCGCAAAAGTGCCCGACTTGCTGATCATGCATCTGTCTTGATGTTTCCAGTTCGCATCGAAGTATTGTTCTTTTCCAACGACAAAAGACAGAAGAAACATGTCTGGCGATCTATCTTGCTATTTTCTACATATCGAAGCGATGCCCTCTGTTTTCTCAGGAAGGTGCTGTAGGAATGATAGGCAGTACAACGTAGTTGCTGTACCTTGGACCGAAGTGCAGATGGTTGATGTCTCCAAAGCGTTCGGGTGACCTAAAGTATTCCGTCAATCATTGCATCTACAACTGGAAATGATGGGGCGGAAAACTATACCTTTCGGGTGATTCGTGGCTGAAGATACCTACACCTTGAGTGTCGCCTCCACTGACCTCGAATGACAACTTCTCGCCTGACTGCAGAACCAATTGTGTTGGCCAGATTTCAATATCAACACCATAGATCTCACCAGGAATGACAGGCTGCACGTCTGGAGAGAAGGAGTCGCGCCAAGGTCTGTACTCGCGGTGATTGGGATGGTCTTTGTTGATCTTGCGCAAGCTGACACGTTGCCAGCCTTTGCTCACAAACACAGGATCTCCGATAGAACCTGTGTAGAATATCTCCGAGCCGTCTTTTGCCCAGTGGCGCACGGTGACAAAGACATCAATGTCCTTCGGTGCACCTCCGGTCAATTCGGGGGTGACGGAGACATTGACAGGAGCGACAATGTGCCCAGTGATCTCCACATCATGATCGAACGGCTTAGTCATGAACCGGTGGTAGGAGTTGTCGTCAGGGACAGTCAGCGCGGGGTAGGAAAGGCGTTTGTGAATCTGACACTGTTGTTCATCTGGAGTGAAGTCAAGATCCGGCGTCAGGAAGTATTTAGTATAAGTAGTTCTTGCTAGTGGCCACTCCTTCTCGGCACGGAACTGAATTGCCCTGCCAGAAGCTGCATCTATCGTATCGTGCTTGAAAGGAGATTTGCGGACTGCAATCGGTACTGCCGGCTTGTCCCCCTTAGTCTAGCCTGCATAATCGTCACCTTCGCAGAGTGCGCTAAGAAAACTTTTCTGCAACTCGACGTCATCGTCATTGTAGAATGGTAGGTCGTGACGTCCCAAGCCAAGTCGAAGGAACTTGTATTGCGAGCCTGCTTAGACGAAGCCCTCGACATTACCGCGGAGGTGAACAACGATGTTGCCCAGGTTCCCGAAAGAAAGAAGCGGCACTTCGATATCCTCAAGATTGTAATCGCGAGAGGCATAGTATTCATCATCGCGGAAGAAGTTGTTGGAATTATTAATCAACTGATCGCGGCAATTCCCCTTCAGCTCTTCTTTAGAGAGATCGCCTTTAATAGTGTCTAGGCCACGCTGGTTCTTGGATCTGTTGGCCAATCCATATTGATTAGATTTGACCTGGCGGTTGAACCAGAACTTGAGAAAAGGTGCTGTCAAGATGCCACCGTGGCGGCATCTGTCCCGGTAATAGTTGGCCATTCCTCCTTACGGGATGATATAGGCCAGGCCGCGTGGACGGCGTGCTACTACGCGCCATTGACTGCCGCCAAAGTAGCTAATGCCTAGCAGACTCACTTTGCCGTTGGACCATGGTTGATCAGCAGCCCATTCGATCACCTTAAAAAATGCGTCTGTGGTAGACTTGGACATTGTATCGGCTACACCTGGCGATTGGCCGATGCCAACTTCATCTGCGCGTACCACAGCATAGCCCTCTTGTGTCCAGAATTATGGGTCCGGCGTCTCGAATGCGGAGTGCTCTGGTATGGTCTTGTGCTTTGGGTTCACATCATGGAAGGAATGCGCAAGGAAGCTTTCACTGTCAGTGCTGCATATATGCGTCTTTGTAAGATGTGGCTTGCTTACTCTTCATATGGTGTATCTTTGCCATAGGGGCCGTAAGTGATGATGACGGGAACGCCTTCTGACTTCTTGGGTCGATAGACATTCAGCCGAACAAGGCCTGTGTTACTACGCAGCTTGACGGTCACATTCTGCTCGAAGATGTAAGGATAAGTATCCTTGTCAATGACGGATATGTCGCGGATCTGGTTAGGCATATTGGTAGACGGCGTGGTGGAAGCGAAAAAATGTGTGGCTTGGAAGAGAGTTAGCTGGGAATGTTGACTTTGTTCTAGATATGCGATCATAGTAACTTCTTCATATCAAGTCTTCGGGGTGAAGATCCATTGTGCTTGGCCGTGGTGGAGGAGAAAAGTGCGGGGCCGATATGATTCGGAAGCTGGGGTCACATCGGCTTCTGTTGGTAATGGCACCACTGTGAGGTATAGTAGTTTGACAAAAATGCGGAGTATTTCGTCTAATGCTGTCAGATCATGTGCATTATCTGGCCATAAGCACTCGTAGTCACAGACATATCCCACGCCAGAGCTCCGCACACTCCAACCCAAAACATTTACATCAAGTATGACAGGTACGCAGAGTGAACACAACAAACGAATTCATACAACAGTTTGACCAGACCTCATGTGTAGCTCCTGTATATTTCCTGTCGCACGGAACGGCATTCCTCCTCCAGAACGATTCTCGTGTAAGAGATTACTGGCGGAAGATCGGTCAAGAGGCGCTTGATAATGGCTGCAAGGGAGTCATCATGATGGTCTGCCAATCTTCACCAAGACATTTTCCGGATTGCTAACACTTTATAGGCAGCTCATTGGAATGTCAACGGTGACAATCAGATCAGAGTTGCCATGAAGCCTGAGCCTGGCATGATGCCATTGACCAATGCTCACCCTGATATATGGAAAAATTCCAAGCCAAACACCGACATACAGATTGGCAAACGAGTTATCCAGATACTGAACGATGCAGGCATCGATACTTAGGCTGATGAGACAATTGATTGGATGATCGATTCCGAGATAGCTCTTGTGGGCATGTTCGGAGACAAATGCCCACCGACAGTCATCATTTCTCAAAACTCCTATTGGGACCCTTGGTTTCACGCTCGCATGGGCGCTGCCGTTCGGTCACTTCGACACGAGGGTTATCTGCTCATTAGTTCGGGAGGTGGTACACACAATCTCTATCGTACCGAATGGCATTACGCTCTGAAGTACAGAGACGTCTTTGCCAACATGGAGGACTTCTACCACAGCGTTCGTGATGATCCAGACCATTCTGTTCTTGCTCCTGCCATATGGAGCAGATGCACGCCTCATCTCCCAGAGAGCACGGAGACCTCGAAGCTGATTCCGGTGCCTCGACCGAATCCATTGCCTTCTGTCTCGATATCAAGCATGGGTTTGATCGACAAAATTATCACTCCTCGATGTGGTCTTGTCGAGGTCAAGAATCCGTGGGTAACCGGTGAGGAGCTAAGTAATGGCTTGGGAGTGTTTCTTGGAACATTCAGGGGTCGACTATGTCTAAGTGCTACCTACGATGACGCTTGGCATGACAAGGCAGAGGTTCTGGACTTTCTCGATCGTTGCATAGCTATCGTTGTACAGTCGGTCCCGACTTGAGCTGTAAATCGGCATCTTAGATAGTGTGTCTTGACCCGACCAACGCCCGAAAGAGTAATATGACACGCAAGATAGAAGTTCTGAGTGGTAGACAATGAGAAGAATCTGTCGTAGATTTACCACGTATTTCGAACTCGAGCATCATTGACCTCTTTCAAGAACCTATAGATCCTGTCCTAGGTCCAGCATTCTCTCGAAAGATCATTGCGCGCAACTCCGTCGGGTGACAGGGACATATATATCTCATGTATACCCAGTAAGACATATCGATTTCGCTCATTGTGCCATGCATCACAACTTTACCGCCGAGTGATCACTTCAACACTGGAAGAACCTCATTGAAAGAACCTCAAGGACGCAGGCGTCATGTAGTAGTGGGACGGGAAGAAGATGCAAAGCTGGGAACCCTGCCCAGAAGCCGTGATTAGATCCTGCTGCGGAAAGCCTTAGAGAAAAATTACTGGCTTTCCTGAGCAGCAACAAAGCGGAGTTCGAGCGGTGACCACGTCAGATAGGTTCCGGGATCCGAGAGTGGCGTCAAGAACGAACGTAGGTGGCATGGAAGCAAGCCGGGAGAGGACATAAATGGCTTGCGATGCAGATCTGCAGTGTTGGTATTAAGTCAATGCTCTCCTCGTGTGCCGAATGTTTGCATGAACTGCTTGCACTAGGCTATGGGACAACCAAGTATTGTTGCATACATCGGTGTAATGCATATGATTCATGTCTTTTTCCAACTTTGGTCTCTCGATGGCTTATTTGCTCGCCAGAAATCTTCGATGAATGTTAGGCCTTCGTGAACCCATGTCTAATCGGCCTTAGTATCGATGTTAAGTAATTGTTCCTCGTCATTACGAACCACAGAGTGAAGGTGCGTGCCTTACATGTGTCACAACTTGTCTGCAAACTTCAAACTCCCGGCTATAAGGACGATGCTATTGCCGGACCAATTTATAAGCTGAAGCGGTAGCTAGGATGCACCCTCTAATAATTTTTAACTATCAAGGTTGATTCAAGTCGTTTCATAGCTTAACTCACCTTTTCAAGAATTTCTAGCGGATATAAGGCACTGTCCGGCCCAAAAATGCTGCTATGCGAACCGTACTACACTAGACTGTAGTAAATCTTACTACCTTAAGGGCGGATTCAAGATGTGTCACGGTTCAACACCAAGACACTAAGCGTGACCCTGTTCGACGACGGCCGGCCACTTGATCACCGACTGATGGAATGTCGCTGTCACGTGACGGCTGCCAAGGCTGGCCGGGAGCCTTCCCAGCCAGCTTCCTGCTACCTCTTTACCTCCTTATCTACGTCTCGTCATATAGCTTAGGCCCGTATCCACGTATTAGTTATTATTTCCGACTGCGCTCCCTAATAAGATGCAATAATGCACTAGGATTTTGTCTTAAAGTACCCTTCTAGACTATTTAGGTAAACCGATAATGCCCCCTAGTGGTATCTATCTATGCTAGCTATAGACTAATGATCGTTACGCATATCTAGAATAGGATACTAGGCAATAATAGTGTCACGGCGCTTACCTATAACTAAGTGTCGTAGCCGCCAGGATGACCCTATAAGGGTCACATAAGTTATAGAACCGGGGTTCTACTAGAGAATGATTATGTAGACTATGCCGCTTCTATGTTTATAGCTCTTCGAGCTACGTCCTGTCATTAAACCTGCCTACTAGTTTCACTACCTAACCGTATATAGCCTATTAAATACTACTATACTCCGTATAGCTACTCCTTCTACTATATACCTAATCGGCCCCTATGACAAATTAACATACTAGTTAAAAAGTTTCGCCTAATTGTCGAAAGGTAGAACAGTCGGGAGGAATAGGTATCGAGGGGTGGAACCAATCGTGTGTGTTAATTAAGTTAGTTAACTACTATTACGATCCGAAAGCTCTTATGTTAGTTACGGATTCTCCGCATCACCTAACTTTCTCCTACTACATCTATCACCCTAACTGCCATATTGTAACATAGGATTATAATAACATAATTTCTGATAGTAGTACGTCTAATAGGTTAGCTCTAGAGGCAAAAATAGAGAGGCCTACGCGACACGTTATAGATATATAGACGGTTTGTTTAATCTAGGGCATCACTTCATTTACGTTATGCAATGATGTTAGGGAGCGCAGTCGGAAATAACAACCAATACGTGGATACGGGCCTAAGCTATATGACGAGACGTAGACAAGGAAATAAAGAGGTAGTAGGAAGCTGGCTGGGAAGGTTCTTAGCCAGCCTTGGCGGCTGTCACATGACAGCGGCCTTCCATCAGTTGATAACCAGGTGACCGGCCACTAACCCTGGCCGGCGGCCAGGGGACAGGGTCACGCGTAGTGTCTTGGTGTTGAACCGTGACAAATGAATAGAAGTTCTTGAATCGCGCACGGGCCAGGATTCGGGAAGGCCTCGGATTGTGGGGAAGCATACTTACGTAGGCGAAATACTAATCCATTACTCAATCGACCAGGCTTGGCGATCTCGGAGGGGTTACGTCTCGCACCCCTGCCAATCTCCCAGTTCATGCTACATGGTCTTGAGCTTACAATAGCAACACGATCTCTAGTCTCAACTTTGAGACTTCGTGAATGATCGGTGAGATTCGAAGAGACACTGGGCAAATGTCAGACTCACCTCCGCCATACAGCGCGGCCGAGGCACGGGCGCGGAAGAGAGAACGCGACAAGCGGAGCCAACAGCGCAAACGACAGCGTGAGCGAGAGCGCGTCTCTGTTCTCGAATTGACGATTCGAGAGCTGCAAGGACAGTTGCGATATCATGTATGTCCATCCAGTGCGAGCCTCTCTTGCAACACTGCAGGCATCTCGCGCAATGATACCGCAGATCCCATAGGTGGCGCTGAAATGTCGACAACAATACCCGTAACGAACACCGCTGTTGAGCCCTCCACCATGGCGACAACCGGCATGAATAATCACAGCTATGGATACGAAATGCCTCCTTTTCCTACAGCAGGGACTCCGATGGACTCAGATGTCACTGAACAATCGTGGCAACAGCCGGCAGCAATGCTTGAAAAGCATTTTCCCACCAGTCATGACCCACCCACTGACGAACAACTTGATGCTAGTACACAGCAAGAAGGCACAACTTGGCAGAATCCACAGTACGGTCTGCCACATCCGGCAATCGCGTCTCCGTTCGCCTCTGCTAGGGACCATGGCGAGGAAGAAACAATATCCGTCCCCTTCTCTCTCCTTGACGCTTTGTTGACAAGTCCTGTATGGCAACGTACACCGCGGCGACGTCTTTCCTCTTTGACCGAAATCTTGCCGGAACCGAATCACCACTTTGATGCCACCATTCATGAACTCAGCTTACGTCGGCACGATGTCAGCGTCGTCTGTCACGCAAGGCCTCAACCAGTTGACATCCTTTATGGCGGTTCAGACAATCCTCTGGCGAATGTCATCGCTGCCAAGATGTCGATTGAGCCCATATTGGCTCCCGAACACTTCGCCTGGTCATGGCTGATGTACCTCTATGGTATGGTAAGCTTAATACTACATACTCGTATGCGCCCAGTATCTCTAGGCTCACATCTCCACAGTGGCTTATCGACCCGACCCAAGATCGATTTGAAGCTCTACCAAGCTGGCTACACCCAACCACCTTGCAACTATCAGAACTCCATCCATCTAGCGCGGATCTTGTGATCTGGCCTGTCATGAGAGACAATATCATCAGATATTCCGCGACTTTAGATATGGCTGCTGTACACAGCCTGTTTGTCTGCACTTGTCGTCTCCGAGGGGCATTTAATGCAAAATTCATAAAGCGGACTAACAACGGCGACCTAGAACTTGATACTGCTTTTGAAAGAATTTTCTTGGATGTGGAAAAATGGGGTTTGCTGGACAAGTTTTGGGTCACGTACCCACAATTGGTAGAAAAGCTCGATCAGAGCATACGCATGAGCGACGCGGATCTTTTGCCTCCTTAAGCACTAGACACATTCGTTGGTAGTCACTCCATCCTACATCATTGACATATTTACTGGGCGAATCCTTTGACGTCTTTCCAAAAACGCGCGGCACCTACCTTTGTGAGAAGTTGGCGTCGTAGCGATGATGTTACCGGACATGGCGTACCGGCGGCTAGTGACTGGGGAATGCCAAAGCTTATCTCGCAGTCCCCGCTCGAGCGGACCATGACGTTGCGGGACTCACCGCGCGCGGCATGACCATAAGCCTAATGGTTGAGACAGTTGTTGCAGTAGGAAGCGCCGCTGCGGGGGGTCTGATGTCGCGTTAGATGACTCGTTGCGACTATTGACTCGACGCTGACTCGCCGCCTGCAACTCAGTCGAGCTTGCTGTTAGCCAGCGATAGTTGAGCTTGGCGGAGGCGACCTCAGTCTTGCGAATGACATAAGATCGCGTGCACACACGAGCCACGTCTGCGCACAGTTTTCCACAGCCTGTGACTCATGAAAATCACATCTCAGCTTTCACCGCGCCGCCTCGCAAGTGCTCTTCGTAGAAGCGCCACGAATTATCGCTCTGTAGCACCCATACACGGGCATTTTGGTGTCCGCTCATTGGCACTTAAGGCAACAGGCATCATGCATAGCGACATCGCACCATGGACGACCACGAATGCCATGGTATTGATGAAGCCAGGCCAGCCTATGAAAAGCAAAATGCTGAAGATTCGCAACCTCGCCCCTGACCAAGTGCTCGTAGAGCTCAAAGCCACGGGCATATGCCACACAGACTTGACAGTGGCCTCCGGCAATTTTCCCTTATCCACGCCAGCGATTTTGGGTCACGAAGGTATGTCAAGAGCAAATTGAGCTGCTCGAGCGATAAGAATACTGATCAAGTGTGTGCTGAAGGTGCTGGCGTCGTGAAAGCAGTAGGCGGAAAACTGATAAACCGTTACCAGCCTGGCGATACTGTTATCTTGAGCTTCAATTCTTGTGGTCAATGTCACAGCTGCGACAATGGTTCCAGCGCTTATTGTCGAGACATGGCCGAAGTCAATCTTCCCCATACTCCTTCTACTGGTGAGAGAAATTTTGAGCTTGATGGGATCCCGGTCTGCAATGGTTTCTTCGGACAATCTTCTTTTTCGAGGATGGCGATCGTGGACGAGCGGTCTATTGTCAAGATTCCTGGTCTAACGAGCGAAGAACTCGTAACATTAGCACCGCTTGGATGTGGCATACAAACTGGTGCGGGAGCTGTCATCAACAACCTCAGTGTCACGCCCGAGTCGAGTTTTGCTGTCATCGGCGCCGGTGCCGTCGGGCTGTCAGGTTTGATGGCCGCAAAATCTCGCGGCGCCGGCACAATAATCGCCATCGATCTGTTGGAATCGAAACTCGAGCTCGCAAAGGAACTTGGTGCCACTCACGTGTTCAATGGCAAGGATCCCGAGCTCGTTGAGAAGATTGTCGACTTGACACCTAAAACTGGAGGTATACAATTTGTGCTCGACACGACTGGGGTGCCGCGTGTTCTGGAACAAGCGGTCACATTCGCTGGGATTCGAGGTCGAATTTGTACGGTGGGCCTCACAGTTCCAGGCACTACTATGAAGCTAGATTTCATGGATATGATGCATAGAGGCAAAGTTTTCACTGGCAGCATAGAGGGAGATAGTGACCCTCAGAAGGTTTGTTGCAACCTGCCTGATCAAGTTGAGCATGATGCTAACAAATTAACAGTTTATTCCTTTTCTCGTTGACGAGTTCAGGGCAGGTCGTTTACCGCTCGAAAAAATTGTGCGCCTCTACCGATTTGAAGAATTTCAAGACGCCTGGGAGGATCTGGCGAATGGGCGAGTCATCAAGCCAATCATTCGGTGGTAGTCAATGTTACTGTTGTCGCTGCATTGGGTGGTTGATAAATATTGTTGTTGTATCCAGAGATAAAATCCAGATTGTGTATCTCTTGAGGCGATAAACTCTCTCAATTTACACAGACTCGAGGTGATGAAAGCGTGTGATCAGTAAGCTTTGCAAAACTTTCTATCAGATTCTCACCGTGTCGCTCTAGCTATGTACATGTATAATGTCTTTTTCTCGGGGCATTTTCTTGTCCATCGCAAGCAGTATCTGGCGAGACTAAAGCTGTCAAACGAGTTTGGATTTTACGGGTAAGATATCCAATGGACTGTGTACTAGTATACAAGTTCATAGTATAAGAACTTGAATGACTATGAGGAGTCGATTAAGGTAGTGCAGTTATTAAGCATGTCGCCGGGGTATTACCGAAATATCTGACAATATCGTGTCCAAAGTCAAGAGAACAAGTTCATAAGGAGAAGTGAGCTGACTAACAGATCTGATTTGACAAGACGATCTACTCCCGGCGAAGAACGAAATAGAACGGGGGCTCGGGCATCAGCAAGTTGTCCATGACACCTAGAAGGGTGTTGTCGTCGACCTTGCGGAAGTGATCGATTATGGGATGCTCGTTGTAGAGCATGCTTGCAGTCGATACACCCTTGTGCTCAACTACGCGGATACGCGCTTGATAGTCCTTGGTCTCGACCTCTTTCTGATTCTCCACGATAGACTCTCCACGAGCCCCCAAAGCCATAGTCTTGGTGGGGTTTCCTGCGAAGACCTCTCCATTCTTATTCTGGAAAAGGAGAGGGTGAGCATCGCGTTCAGTGAACTCCTTGCCGTACCATCCGCTGGCGGACAATGTGCCGTCGACTGCGTGGCCAGTTGCCAATTCCGATCCTTTCCAACGGCCCACGATGGCTTCAGGTCTGACTGGGCCAAGTGTCTCGAATGCGGCTGCTGCCTCGGCCGAAGTTGCTTTGCCGGCGGCAAGAAGGTCTTGAACGGATTTACCCATGGTGTGTCTAGTCTAGTTAGCGATATACAAGCGACCATGTATGAAGGCTAATATACGTTGGTGGCAGAATTCTGTGTCTGGTAGCTAGTGATAGATATAGTGATCCAGGTGTGAAAGTAATCCTTATCGTTGGAGACAGCGGAAGCTGTTTATTATATGTGTCTATCAATCCTTGATCACGTGCAGCGAGGACGCACTCACGATTCGATTTTGTATTGCATCGCTGGGGAACGATTCATCATCCGAAAGGCAGACGCTAGGCTTGAACTTCCTTCCTTCGCCCATCTTGTGCATCGTCGAGACTGTCATTCGCGTGTTGATAATCCAGAAGCGTCACAGCTGCCGATGACCCTTGGTACGAAGCTGAGCGGCTGACTCGTCGCAGGACGTTGCAAACTTGGAGCGGGGTCCGTTGACTCGTCGCAGGACGTTGCAAACTTGGAGCGGGGTCCGTTGACTCGCCTCGGAGATCTCTAAGCGTGCTTGGACGGCTGTTGACTCGATACGAGCAGCTCGAAGCTTGTTGCAGCAACTGCTGACTCATTAGGGCTAGGAAACTGACATGATTGTTCTCTGGTGAAAGAATGAAACGCATGTTCGAGAGACGCACTGCTATACAGTAGCATGGAGCAGGCAGACTCGAAAGCAAATACGCAGTGAATGCCGAAAAGTATCGTGGGGTGATTATGGTCAATGGTCCCTGCTGCGACCAGAGGATGAAGTGAGCTTGCTCGATGTATGCATCTCAAGTACAATCTCGATCACGCGCGTAGAGCACGGTGCTAAGATTTGTCTCATCTCAGTGTTCATTTCTGATCTCATAAGTTCCAAGCTTTGAACCTTCTGAAAATGTCATATCCCGATAGGGAACGTCAGGTCATAACACGGCTCGGCAGAAATCACCATAGTCTTCTAAGTCTAGTAATATAAATAGAGCTCCCCACCAGGAATATGTTTGGTACGTACAGATTGCCTCTACTCATCGCAATGCCTCCCCTGACCGAGTTTCTTGGCGTCTTCTTGAGCGTGGTATCGCTTGTTGCTAGTGATGTGGTACCTTCTCCAGGACCATTCGAGCATTTCAAAACCAAAGCAGCGACCACCGATGTTGGCTTGTCGGTCGATCTGGGCTACGAGATCTATGAAGGGTACAACAACCAGACTACGGGTCTGAATATCTGGAGAGGGTATGATGCCCCATCGAGGAGTACATAAACCATGCCAAACTTCTGACCACTCTTCAGTATCCGTTTCGCAGCATCGCCAACCGGATCTTTGCGCTGGCAAGCACCACAAGTCCCTGCCGAGAATCGCAGCCAGATCATCCAAGCAACGTCTTATGCTCCTTTCTGTCCTCAAAGTTCCTTTAGCGGCTATGGACTTTTCAATATGGCTGGCGATGAAGATTGCTTGTTCCTGAACGTCTATGCGCCAGAGAATGCTACAGACTTGCCTGTGCTCGTGTGGATTCATGGTGGCGGTCAGTCTGACCTTCGACTGATTGATAGGCAATCCGCTTACAAGAATCAGGTTATGGCTTGGGCAATGGTCGACAAGACCTCAGCGAGATTATCAACACAAACAACAATAGCTTCATTGGCGTCACCATTCAGTACCGTCTCGGCGCTTTCGGATTCCTCTCTAGCGATGAAGTCTTTCGCAACGGTGTCGTCAACGCGGGTATCCTCGACCAAACATTCGCGTTGAAGTGGGTACAAGCGTATATTTCACAATTTGGTGGGGATCCCCGAGCTGTCACTGTCAGTGGAGAGAGTGCGGGTGGCGGCTCTGTCATGCTACAGACCACAGCATACGGCGGTACTATGGGAACTTCCTTGTTCAGAAATGCCATCGCTGCCTCGCCTTTCCTACCTATGCAGTACGAGTACAAAGATTGGATTCCTTCTCAGGCGTACTACTCTTTTGCTGCACTGGCGGGCTGTATGCCCGATACTGTCTACGGGAGCTCATCGCGCACTATCTTCGAGTGTTTGGTCGAGAGAAACACCACAACGCTACAATACGCCTCGTTCAACGTTTCAACCAGCGGGATCTTCGGAACATGGGGTTTCCTGCCCGTTACTGATGGTGTTTTCATCCAGAAAACCCCGAGTCAACAGCTACTGGAGAAACGGATCAACGGACAGAATCTCCTTGTTGGCAACAATGCTAACGAAGGTGTCTATTTTGTACCTCAGAACATCGACACCGAGAAGGCGCTTGTCACTTGGCTCCGTCTGACTTTCCCGTTGTTTTCAAACGATGACATCACTAAAGTTCTGCTTTACTGTATGTTACGAGCTTTCTCAACTGACAAGTCAAAGCTCACCTACCGCACAGATCCAAGCAGCAATGCCACTGACTCACTGAATGCTGTGGACTTTGCGACCTCGGGTACTCAGGGTCCAACGGCGATCAACAAGAGCTCCGTCGCAAGCGCACAGCAACAACGTGCCTACGTTAGTATTGATCGTCGTAACCATCCTGGAACTATCTGACGTGGTGGTTGCAGAATATTTACGCCGAAACGACTTTCGTGTGCCCGAGCTACTGGATGGCGGAGGCGTTTACTGGTAGCGGGCGCTCTAGCTACAAATACCAGTATAGTGTTCCCGCGGCTGAGCACGGCGCAGACGTCACTGCCTATTTTGGGCCTCCAGCGTCTAATCAAGGCCCTGACTTTGTGAAGGCATTTATGAGTAAGTCGTCACTATCACTCCTAAACTCAGTTTGTCGCGGCCGAATGATCAATCTGACTCGACTGCGCAAGGTATCTGGGGCAATTTCGTGACCCACAACAATCCCTCAATCCCTCCATCCATCTCCGATCCTGGCTCAAATGTTTCTTCTACCACTGCAGAGGCAGCGTCCAACTGGCCAAACTTCCATATCTATGCCCCATTTCAGCTGAACCTCAATCAAACAGCCGGACAGGAAGTCCAGACTACAATTGTGCCGGGTGTAAATGCTACCGTTTACACCGGTCCTGGTCTGAAGAACGATTTTGAGTTGGTAAACGCATATACTTGGGAGGGAGGGAGAGGCTACAGATGTGATTTCTGGAGGAGTGTTGCACCAATTGTGCCGCAGTAGAGACTTCTACGCCAAATATCGTCTTTTGAGAAACTCAGAGTCATACAACCATGAATGACTGTAAGATATATAAATCTACCCGAGCAGTTATAGGTTTCCAAATACTGAGCAATTTGAACAAGCAGAGTTTTGTATAGCACTTGCTCTCCTCAAACAGAACAGTGGTAGCCGATACTTGGACATTGCGCGACCTGGTAGCACACTCGCTTACCTTTAGGTTCGAGACAGTGGAAGTGAGACAGCGCGTGAGCTTTCTGGCAAGTATGGACTCCGTGCTTCAGCCTCGTCTCTCAATCTACTTTACTTTTATGGAGAATGCAACAATTATCACACGCCACTAGGCGCTGGATGAATATGTTTATGAGGAACTTTGTGATCTATATGCTAAATCTCCCTGGAACTGCAACTTCCTAATCTTCGTTGATCAGGACTGCTCTATATCTCACGTCACCGTTCTCAAGATCATCGAGAGCCTTCGTGATACCTTCTTCGGACATCTTGTAACGCTGGATGGCAGGCGTTATTTGATGTTGGGCACTGAAGGCCAACATGCGCTTGTGAATGTAACGTGAAGAGACAAGGCTACCTTGGACACTCAGGCCCTGCGCAAGTAGGCTCATGTATGAGCAAGTGAAGTTACCTTCGGCGACGGACAGCGGGAATATCATGCCTCCAGGAGCCATGATAGGAATGAAAATGTCCCAACTAGGCTGCTCTGACGTAGTGACGAGGAGACGGTTGATTGGCTTGATGTCCTTAAGCTCACTAACATCCTGGGTAGTATAGAACTCGCTGGCTCCGAATCCCAGGCACTCTGCCTTCTTCTCCTTAGTGGAGGAGAAGACGACAACTTGACAGCCCATCTTAGTAGCGTACTGTATGGCTAGATGGCCAAGACCACCAATGCCTACAACACCAACACGATCAGTGGGTTGGGCGTTGTACATATGCAAGGCGTTGAACACAGTGACACCACCTAAACCATTGTTAGCTCGGCAAATCGGACGGCGATTGCAACTAGTACATACCGCACTGCAGTGGAGCAGCAGCTTCATCAGAGATGTTGTCAGGTATCTTGAAGAGGAACGCCTCGCGCCAAACAGCGTGAGTGGCGAACGATCCTTGATCGGTGTCGTTGAAGCCGTACATGGCACGTTCCGAGCAGAACGTCTCAGTGCCTTTTAAGCACTGCTCACAATGCTGGCAGCAATTATGCTCATAGCCCCAGCCGACACGGTCACCTTTCTTTAGGTGTGTACAAGCAGGCCCAGTATCCTCGATAACACCAACTCCCTCGTGGCCGAGGCCTATATCAGCCTTGCGGAAGTGCAGATCGGTACCGCAAACACCAGAGGCAGTGACCCTAAGAAAGACCTGATCATCTTTGAGAGCCTCTTTGACACAAGTCGACTTTGTTATGGTGCCGGATTCAGATCCCTTGTACACGGTATATGTGTAAGTCATCTTGACGTCTGGATGCGTAAAACAATAGATCGTAGAATGCGAATGGACAGTTGCGAATGCCTCCACTATCATGGAGGGTCACTCAGTCTTAAGTAACCGCCCCTGCCACTGTGCGGATGTCGATGGAAGACGTCCATAGCATGGTTCAATGGACTCCGACGCAGAACGTATTAGGTCAATCACGTTTGGTGCAATTCAGCATGACGCTCGTTAACTGCTGCAAAAACCAAGAAAGTTCTGGCGGGTACATACTGACTCATCGTGACTAGCCTGACCCGTCGTGGCCGAAGTGACTCGACGCAGCTGAAGTGACTCGCTTTCACGAGTCGGGCTTAGCGTAACGGGTCTTACGACAATCACCATCGGATGCGGAACTCTACTTCTGGCTGTTACGATCCGCCATTGGACCAAGGGGTCTCACCTGCCAGGACAGTGAGCAGGAATGGTTGACTGCTGATCCTCACCCGCCAAGCGAGTGAGCCAGCAAGCCACACGGACAGGGTCGCAGCTTCAGCTCACGGCCTTGGCCTGTGAGCTGCAAGGACGATCCTCACTCACTCACTCACTCCGTGAGCAAGAGAGCTCACCCTCACAAGTCGCGAGCGACTTGCATACACTCTTTATCTATTAGGTATATAGGTAGGCAGGTCTTCACTAGGAAGTCCTGCGTTCAACTCAATTTGTTATTCCAACAGTCCCTTTGGTATACACTACTGCACATACCTGCTTCACTTCGCTTGACACTCCGCTTCACGAGTCCAACCCGTGACTTGTTATCTTACCCAAGATGGTTGGCCGTAACAATGACACACTGGTTATCTCTCTTAGCGGGGGGAGCTTTGTACATCTTCTTCGCGTCCATTAGACCGTTCATTGGTGATGCGACTTTCTCTTTGTTGGCGGAGCTTTTTTTCGGTAGAGAAGTGCGGCTGCTGAGCCTTAAAAATCATACAGCGCACTAATTAAATCATCTTTACGTCACTCCAAAGTCAGCTATCTAAATTTTGCTACAGGACAGCCTATATATCCTCCTTAATCACTACAGTTAAGGCTCACCAGTGAGACGGTGTAAGATGGGAGATATGAATTTCGGTCGATATTATTTTTCTTATCCTCCAAGCAAGAAGCAAGACCTACCATCTGCGAGATCATTACCGAAAGATTGTTAGATTCTTCCAACAATTATTTGACGATAAGGACACTCGAGACTTTACTATATATGTTCTAAGGACACTAAGCTGTCATTAGTACACGAGATCCGATTATCTAAAGTTGTCGCTTGGATGTTAGCCTAGATGGCCTTCCATCTTGGGACTATCAACATCTTGCGGCAGCTAGGTCACTAGCCAGTCTGGTGACCTCTCTGGTACTTCTTCTGCCTAGGATATTGAACGTGTTAGAATAGGACTTTTTTGTATTGTTAGATATTCGAGAAAAACAAGGACAAACCTGTTTAAGCATCCTACGCTGGAGGAATAGAAGACACATCACGTGCGAAACCAAGTTGGGTGGAGAGAACAGTACAACCTGGAAACGCAACCGACTAGATGAGAAAGGCACGGAAATACATAACGTGGAAGACCAAAGAAGAGATCTTCATACATTCCAATCATAAGTAACCCCAACGCGATCCCGGAATTCAGGAATCGAATCTCGAAGGATCTTTCGTGTTCTTGCTTGAGAAAGCAAGGGTGATCTGACCAGTCTGGCCTTTGCTCGAACAAGTTTCGGAAATTGAAAGGTTGGAGAAACTGTAAGGAAGGTCGATGGTGTAGATGTTGCCGCCAGAGGTGTACCCAGACTTCGGAGGGTTTGGAAAGTACGTTGCCATCCGGCAGGAGTTTCAGCGTTGTTGGCGGCTTCACTGTAGGTAGTGTCCTGGACGAAGAACTCTGGAGTATCGGGTTCTGGGACGTATATGTAAAGTGAAGCAGGCTTGGCCTGGCAAGCTGTACGCTTCAGGACAGAGAGAGTGTTACCATCCACTGTGTCGATATCGGGAGTCACATCGGCAACAAGCTCTGCGAAGACACTTGTAGTGGCAGAAGCGGCGTCGTAGGTGACGCTCTCACTTTCAGCTCCAACAGGGACCGTGCCCAGTTTCGTTGCAACTTCCAGGTTTGCATCTCGTTTCCCTTGTCTATGCCTCGACCTTGCTAGGTTACGTGTCCATGTGTAGTTACGATGAAGCGCTGTCAGATCTGGTGTCCACCATCTTTTCCCGTACGCTGATAGCTTTGCTTTCGGGCAGTGTTGTCTAATTGCGTCCTCAGTTGCATGCTGGATGTACTGTTGCATCTCCTCTATATCCACTGTTGGGAAGGGTGAGCTTGTAAGTGTCTGCTCAATCGTTTCTCTTACTGCCATCCAGTCTGGTCGTTGTACAAAGCATCCTGAACTCCTGACATCTTTTGCAGATACGCCTAAAGAATGGTGAGTGTGCTATTCATGGAAACGTAGGTTATTAGATCGTTCTTGCTGTTTCTGTACCCACTCGAACCGCCACTACGGGCACTGAGTATGCTGGGAACAGCATTGCTGAATGAAGATTGGAGCAGAGAGGTGAAGGAAGACGCTGTGTCGGACATCGAAAGTGCATCTGCCATACTGAGGCCGTTGGCCAACAGTAAGCAAGCAAAATTCATAATCATGTTGGTATTGCTTGATCATGGAGAACAAGTAGTAGATTAGGGGAATAGTAAGATGGTTTAGAGATCTGCTGTCGTCTGATCCACTTCGTCGCATCGCTGCATCCTACCAGAGTCTATGTGTGTCCGAAGCGATGAGCGCCAAAGGCTTCCGAATGAGCTCTCGAGAGTATGGACTCTGGCTAGAACAGGTTTTGCAGCCATCGGTTGGTCATTACGATCTTCTCAGCTGAGCTCTGACGGATTGAAGATCGTCATCTTCACAGAGTGGTCGATTCGAGAACATCGGAGACTCAAAGGCACATCTGGAAGCACTATATAACCTGCCATCGAACCCGGTCGATTCATCTTCTGATGCGTCACCTAGAGGTCTCGGCTGCAAGAATGCTTCTTCGAATCAGCATTTTGTTACTCTACATCACTCTTGCAAGTGCACGTAAGGTCTTGTATGGATGGAATATCGGATGGATGAACGCCAACCCTGATGGACGAAGAGAACGCCCTGTCATGGCCGTCAATGGCCAATGGCCTCCGCCGATCATACGAGCAACAGTAGGGGACGATGTGCGCAATGCGGTCTGGAGACAATGTAAGATATACGCTGATCGCATGCATAGCTCCTTGTGACAGTGCACAACAATCCACCGAACGAGACAACGAGTTTACACTTCCATGGTCTACATCAAGAAGGTAGTAATCAGATGGACGGACCTCCACATGTTGTTGCTTGCCCTGTCCCGATTGGCACAAGCTATACGTATCGCTTCAGGGTCAAAGAAGCGGGCACCTTCTGGTGGCATTGGGTAACCCCATGATATGCAATATATGGAGACATGATATTGATTACCAGACAGCACTCGAACGGGCAGTACATGGATGGCCTTCGAGGAGCATTGGTAATCAGTGACCCGAGGTCTCCTTACCAGGACAAATGCGATTCTGAGCTCGTCATGTCCTTGTCAGATTGGTACCACGACTTACAGGGTGAGTCATTATGTTCTCGGCTTGATAAAGAGACTGATTCAGAGTAGCACAATTGGCTGCGTGCTATCTTTCGCCTGATTGTAATCCTAGCGGTGCTGAACCGGTTTCTTATTCTGCCCTGGTTAATGACAACTCGGACACAAGCCTACGAGTTCGACCCGGAGAGACGTAAGTGCGAGAAGACGATCATCGGTATCTCAGCTAATACAACATGACAAGCTACTTCGTCCATGTCATTAACATGGCTGCGTTCGCACAGATGTACATCAATTTTGAGGACCACAATGTAACCATCATCGAGGTTGATGGTGTTTACACGCAGCCACGGACTGTTAGCAGTCTGTATGTTGCTACGGGACGGTGAGTGCAGGACACAAGTGATCCTGCTCGGCAGATCGCTAACATAAAACGTCTAGACGCTATGGAGTCCTGCTTACAGCCAAACCTGACCCTAACAAGAACTACGCGATTCCCGTCGCTATGGATGTCGACGCCTTTGACAATGTCCCTAACTACCTGCGACCAAACACAACGGCAACGTTAATGTACGATACAAGCAAGCCTGTTCCTAGAGAAATCACCGTACCGTTCTTCGACGTAATCGATGACATTACGCTCGAACCGTGGGATCGTCAAGTCGCGCTCCAGCAACCAAAAACGCGGATTGAACTTAACCTAGAATTATTCCCTGCATTCGGCCAGAATCGTGCAGGGTTTAATGGGGTTTCATATCTGTCGCCCTTGGTTCCCACTCTATACACAGTCGTCAGTGCGCCCATACCGCTGCTGAGCGATACGCGGATATATGGCGATTATACGAACGCCTTTGTGATAGACTATGGCGACGTCGTAGAGATAACAATCCACAACACGGATGATGGTCAACATCCGCTCCACATACATGGCCATCAAGTGCAGCTAATATCGCGTGTGCTAGGATTATTCAACAACGGACGTAAACGCAGCAGGCTTTCTAAGCGCAGCGTTCAGAGTTCTCTGCCTAAAGTCAGTCACGCTGGGCAGACACCCATTAGAAGAGATACTTGGACTCTAGCTGGACAAGGTACTACGGTCATCAGATTTGTGGCGGACAATCCGGGTGTTTGGCATTTTCATTGCCACATGGAGTGGCACCTTGCCGCTGGTCTAGCAATCACACTGGTCGAAGCGCCTAAGCTTATACAAGCAAAACAGAAGGAGATCGATGCAAACATGGAAAGCATCTGTCAGAGTCAGGGAATCGTGACTACTGGTAATGCGGCAGGGAACGCAAAAGATTGGTTGAATTTAGTAGGGCAGCGAAGCAATCCTTAGTGTCTTGTAATATGAAGCGTGAATCTTCGGTTCAAAAGTCGATAGTCCGGGCATATCTCAACCTGCATAAGCCTCGTGTCGAAGTTCCACTTCATTCATTCCCAGTAAGAGATGATGGAAAAAGGCTTGTAGATGCGCAGGAATGAAATATTCGTACGACTTTCTTAGTGCACCTATCTCAAAAGCCAGATGCAGGACTGAACCCTCTTTCCGCTCGCCGAGAGCAGGTACGTGGTTCTAAATAAATCGCAAGGTGTATCCATTATCCGGACTTCTCCCTGTATAGCCCACTGGCAATTTCTTTCGATAATCGTCGTCCTAAGCAGGTGATCCTTTCCTTAGATCAGTGCCCTCAATGGTTAGTGCCACCAATGGTCTTGTGTAGCTCTCTCGCGACGGGCTTTCAGTTGTGTCGTTCGGTCGATATTGTGGTCTCAATTTAGTATAGTCGACGAGAATCACACGCCTAGCCCCCTAGATTGTCACATGCTAATGGTTGACGACAGATGTACCTACTAGAGCTCCAAAAGTGGTCGCAGGCAATCATATACCCTCTTCGTCAGAGTTCTGCCCAGATTTTGTAAATTTTGGAGAATGTTTTTCGATGTTTGATCTCTGGTAGAGTAGCCAATGTTCCAGGTCGTACTGTTCTAGTGCTGAAGGTGGCCTCCCATGTCATGCTACCAAGTACTTGCTTGAGCTGTCTCAAGTCAGAATTTACTGATTGATTGGGTCACTGGCTCCAGAGTAAGTATGGTTGGATCAGGCGCACGCTCTTTCTCCACAAGGCACTGCGCTGGTAAAAAATCAATTCAGGCTAAGCAACAGGGTTGCAGAATACCATAGTGGGTCGCTCTCAATCACAACTGTTCTTGATACCAGATGAAGTCTGCTTAAACGAAAATGGATATGAGATTATGGAGGAAAACAAAGTCTCAAACTATGTCAGGTGAGGTATCTTGGAGCAAGTGCAACAATCCAGGAGAGTCTTCCAAGAACCGATTCCATGTTCAACACTTGCCCGTGCTTTTGCTATTTGTGCCACCGGTTTTGCATGTACTCAGAGAAGTTGATGTCGTCTTAGAGGATGACCCCTTCTGTAGACCCGTGCCCGAAGACACAGCTGATGAAGAGACACTGCTAGCTTGCTGTGTCACTGTTGCAAGAGTAGTTTGTGTACGAACCAAAGTAGTCCTTCCCCAGTATTGCTCAAGATTCGCTTTCACCTCTTCGTAATTACGATAAGCTTCGAGACTAGCGAACCAATCTGTTTTATTCTTGACTCCCTCTAGGGAGAATTCTCCCTTGCCCCAGGTGAGAACATCGACGTATTCGTTGCTCAGTATCGGTTTTGCCCTATATGTTGGGTCCATTGGGTCAATGAAATGAGTTTTCTCCGTATAATTGAAATCTGCGAGGGCTGTAACGTTGAAGTCCACCAGCATCTCGTGGTCCTGTTTTCATGGTCAGAGATGGGGAATGGTCCATACTAAGGGAACAATTTGGACAAACCTCATGAATCAAATTGTGACAGTGGAACATGTAGACTCCATCCCAGGGTTGGTATCTTGCGATGACTTGTACTCTCTCATTTGGGCCAAGCCATACCACGTCCTTGAGTGCGACTTTCTCATAAGGCTGTATCCCACGGCTGCCACCAGTTCTCGAGATAACCTGGAAATCAATCAAGTGTATGTGGATTGGATGACTCCAACCACCACTCTTATTGATCAGCTCCCAAATCTCGATGGAACCCCTCTTAGGCTTGGCAAGCACTCGCAGCTCAGGGTGTGCTGCACCTGTGGACCATGTCGCGCCGTTGATGTTCCACAACCCTCCATCTTGTTGGAAGACGAGAGAGTGGTCGATGCCTGTCTTTGGCGGTGGGTAATCCACTGTACGCAGTGCGCTTGGAACTGGTCCGTTACCTGTGATACTATCTGTCACAGTATCACTAGATCCGACACGGAACTCTGAATCCTGTCAGTGACATGAGCAGGTAGAGCAAACAGCTAACAACACTTACGCATGATTCTGTCAGTCCCAGCAAAATCGTTGTCTGCTGCAATCCCGGGAGTGTTCTTGACGATGATGTTCTTTCCGGCGTAATCACTAAAGTCGATGACAATCTCCCATCTCTCAGCGACACCAATATATAGATCTGAGCTTGACACAGATTTCTCAAGGAATCCAGTATCAGAGCCAACAACGGTAAACGGAAGGGGGATTCCCGGTTTCGATTCCAGCTCCATGTAGATCTTATAGGTTCTGCTAACACCAGTATTAAGCTACCGGAAGCGATACTTGCGGGCTTCGACATCCATGAAAGGCCAAGGTGCGCCATTGACGTGGATGACATCCCCATGAACAGAGGTCTTCTCCTCGTTGGCTTCAGGATCCCACAAAGTGCCGTCTTGGTTGTAGAACCTGGCAGCCAAGGCAAGGGGGACATCATAAGCTCCGGAGGGTAGATTCAGACTTCTTTCATGATCATCATGCAGGATATAGAAGCCAGCTTGCCCATAGTAAGCATTTTCCGCAGTATGATCAACAGCATGGTCCTGTATGTGACTCAGCATTAATCGAGCCTTTGGACATCGAAATCGCTTACATGATACCACAGGGTACGCGCATTCTGGCGATTAGGATAGTAGTAGTCCTTATACTGTCCAACCTCTGTAACATCATCGGCATAGCCATCAAAAGGGGAACGGCTAAAAGATCCATGAAGGTGAATGGAGCTCGCACGGTCACCTCTGTTGATGAATCGGACTATGGCTTCAGTGTCTTTCTCTTGCACCAATGTTGGACCTGGAGTCATGCCGTCGTAACCCACGAAGCGAGCCTTCTTGAAAGGTGGAGGATAGATTTGCTTGAAAACCTCCTTGATCTCGATCTCATAGTATCGGATGTCTCCGGCGGTGCCATTAGGATTGTGGAAAACGCTGAACGGACAACTTAGTTTTAGTGAAGATGGAGTTGTTTGACACGCTCACGTTTTAGGATCCTTGGGTGAAGGAATGGGCAAGCGTTCACTGAAGAAGGGTAGGGTTAGAAAAGACTTCTATTCTGGCTCTACTTAAGCTACACTTGCTCATCTAATTACCTAGGGTCTTTAGATTATACAAAGGAGAGAAGAAAAGAGGTAACATAGGAAAGTTAGACGTATACTAGTCTATCCCATACCCTAGCCAGGTTCTTGCTCGGAGCCTTACTAGGGTAGTTGAGATGTATTTATCTAGCCAATCCGAGGTGCTAGGGGTAAGGGACTTCTGGAATTCCTTATAGGTTTGTGAGGTTTCCTTTCCTAGTAGGCCCCCCTGGCTTAGGATAAACGGTTTAAACGCTTGGCTAAGGATGCGGTATTTAAGTTTCTTAGCCTTTTCTGCTGTGGATAGGGTGCCATAGGGGTCCTTTTTTGCTGTTTCCTTTCCTAGGGAGATGACT